GACCAAAAATACATGCCTTTGGACCATTTCCATGGAAACAGTCAGTGTGGCAAAATACGGACCGAGTAAGAACCAATCAAAGTGCTCAGATTTAACTCAGGACCACCTTGACATACTATATTTATAATGGTTAAATCGTACTATAAAAAAATATGTACCTAAATGCTTACCAAAAACAAATACATGATTAAGTAACTTTAGAAATTCACAATGAATACCATGATTGCATACTTACAGTTACTTTTCTTCAAGAGATTATTGGAGGAAAAGACGAGAACAATTGAGAATAAAACTGAAGAATATTAACACAACAAAGTACCTTGTTGACCACTTCATTATCTGGGAAAGACCAAATGTAGAGTAGATAAACAGGAAGAATGAATTCCAAAGGCCAGTGCAAGAATATAGGGCAAAGAAATCCAAATCAAAGTCTGCCGCAATGTTGTAAATAACTAAAAGATTAACAAATATCATTTGATTAAGGATGAAAAAAGAAGTTAATGTAAAACATTAATTATTGACATGTCTAGTTTAACTGTAAGTGGCAACACTAGGCTTGCAAATTATACTATCAATTTTAAATTGGGATTTTTATCTCAAGTAATTCATTTCTGCTTAAACCTTGTTACAATTTAGTTTACCAATTGAAGTTATATAATTAGTTTACCATGCCAACATCTATACATCACCTTTGATGTAAAGTGCAAGTGGAGCTGTGGTAAGTAAAACAATTAAAGGCTGTCCTCCAAACAGAGCAAACAAAATTCCTCCCACAGATTGTGAAATGATAACTTTCAGAACATCTACAAGAGATTGATGAGTGGAGCAGTCAACAACTATGTCATCATTAAAAAAAGTGAGCTTTAAATATCAGAGTCAATGAGAACAAAGTGTAAGCTGACTGATGTGGGTCAAACTTTAGGCTACAAGCCTCATGGAAAATTTTGTAATGCATTGTAGCAAATTCTCTATGCTTCTGCATGTTAAAATTCAATTAAACTTGTTGATGATGTGACACTGATTGGTTATTATGGACTCAATACAACAATATATGCTATAAATTCAAAACTTGTGTCATTTCTGACAGTATAAATTTCATGAAATACCAAATGAATTGCAGGGTTTGTAAAAATCCACTATTAATGCTAACAAATTCCAGCCATCCAAAAACCAAACTATTTAAATAACGAGTCTTAATTATCATAACATTTCCATCCATTTCTCAGACACATGCAGCATTATCAGCCTCTACAAACCTAGCCCACTTACCAATTTTTCCACTAGTGTTGCGGCTGTTGAGAACACCAAATGCAATTGATGGCAGAATACAGGCAAAGTATAAGAAAAGTGTTGTGGAGATCACTTTAGGAATGGTCCGATGACCTCTTATTCCTATTCAATCAAAAAATTAAAAAATAGAAAATTAAATAATTCTAAAATGGACTGACGGAAGTCGTAAGGGTAAGCTTTGAAACCATTCTCAAAAATTGAAAATCTAATTAAGTTTAAGAAAGCCACTTAAAAAATAACTCATTAAATAACACAACAATAAGACCAAAAATAATTAAAACAACATTTAGTTTGATTAATTTACGGTCACGTTATCATTGATTTAATCAATAACAGTTTTAACAGAAATGTGTTCTTCAGACCTGTTGCATTATTTTCTGAAAAATTTGGAGAAAAAAGCCATACAGATGAAAAGATTCAAGAAAGTATCTAGGAAAAATACTCCAAGTTTCTGTAGTAATGAATTTGGCACATTCACATCAACTTACCATCTTTAAAATCAGATAAATAATGTGGCCATCTCCTTCGAAAGTCACGTATGACCCCCCTTCCAAATGAGAACAACTCTGATCTCTGTCAAATTGACGGATAAGGTAAGTATTATTTATTACACGACTCGGGCAGTCAGAGGGCCAATAACTAAAATCAACCAATCAAAATGCTCTATTGCCGGTCAATATTCTCTCAGTATTGGACTGGGTACTGTCCCGAATGGTCCCAAATGATACCGCACTTGTGTCCCTTTTAACTTCAGTCGTATAATAAATCTCTTATTAACCAAGCTTGCTGGGGACTGTACTGGAAGAATATCGGCCCTCGGTCTTTTTTGTACGGACCGAGGTCCGTACTGTCAAGATCTCAGACCAATATTCTCCCAGTACAGCCCTCGCACTTGGTTAATAAGATATATGTATTTCCAGAATATAAAGCATTGTCCATGCAACTGAAGGACCAAGATAGAATTTCTCCTTACAACATCACTGCAATATCAAGCAGATAAGTGATGAGAATAGCAAAAATTATCACTCTGGGAATCATCCAACATCAAATTATCAGAACTTATATTAGAAGAACCACCAATGGGCACAAGCAGCTGACAGAAATGGCACCACCATGAGAGCCACACTATACGATTATAGGAAGGCTTTTGATCTTATAGATCATGACATTTTAGTTAGGAAGCTGACCATGTTGGAGATACCCAAACAGATAATTAATTGGATCACAGATTTTTTTATCGGGCCGTTTTCAGTGAATTAAACTTGCAAAGGGTTGTTTTTCCNGCAGTTCATATATATGTATTTCATATGTTTGTTGTTTGATCTGTACTTAGTTATGCGGTACTGGCATTCTATTACTCGCTGCCATTGTATCTCAATGTATTTATTTGTGAAATGAACCTTTACCCTTTACCCAAGAACTGTACAGCAAATGGTACAAATAATTACCCATAAGATCTTGGGAGTAAAAAAGGGTTAAGTGACACAAAAATATAAAATAATGCTCTACACTAGAGTACAAAAAAAAAAAAAAGAAAAGTTGTCGGCATCTTGGTTAACAGTATACCTTTTCATTTTCATCATCTCTTTGATGGATAAAGGAGGACTTAGGTTGGGAACCAAACTGCCTTATGGTAGATTTGCGTTTTGGCAATAATTGTGAAGATAGCATCCCTTTGCGATCTGACAGTACTTTCTGTAAATGAAAACCATACATTAAAACAATACATGCTGTAGTTTGAATTGTTCACGATAAACAAAGGATAAACTATCACTACAAAGTGAAGTCCATTTTCATGACCATAACTTGAACAAACCTTTAATTCCTCTTCTGTTTCTGCTTCAATGAGCAGCTGTCTTATCTCTATGTCAGACAATAATGTTGCAAAAGTTCTTCCTGTTTCCAGTGAGTTCTTTGTGCTTTTCTGAATAGCATAAAAATAGTAAGAAAAATCACAATGGAAAACTTTCAAGAAGAAACTATTCCCAAATCAGGTTTTTTTTTAACAATAGGAGAGCTAGTAATGGAGTATAAATTAAACTAACAAAAGAGTTATTCAATTTCATTTATTCATTAATTACAATCCCATTTTCTGACATTGCATTTTTACATACTACTCAACCATGTCCTACACTCCTTGATGACTTCCTGCCATCTTCTCACCAATAAACAATTTAAATTATATAGATGATATTATGCTGTGGCAAAAAGATACGATTGAATGTTATGTTTGAGTGGCAAGAACAATACCTCACTTGTTCACAGCCCTCACCTGTGATAAGTTATTCTTGCCAAGACTTAAGCAACTAATTAGAGAAATAAATTATCATCTAACTTTGCCACGCTTGCCTTTAATTAAGAGGGGTAACTTACAGCTTTACTAGGAGCAAGCACCAAGACAACCAAATGAGTCTCTTCGAGTGTTCTTCCCAAGTTTACAGGATGTCTCAGTTGTGCAAAGGCCACGTGGCTTTGCTGTACAGATGGTAGTTCTCCCCTGCAGACAATAAAAGACCAAAAAATTATTTATTTATTTCACTCTCTTGAATTATTTAGACAGGCTGGTCCACTTATCCTTTAAGGCTGGTTTAAGAGGAGGCCTCTATAAACAATAAGACCAGATCACAACACTGGGAGCTATTCTCCCAACTCTTTGGAGACACTTCTCTCCACACATTTCCTTAGATGGTGACAAAGAGAATTTGTTNTGCGTGGCCCGTGCGATGAAATAACTTCACGGATTGGCAAAGTTTCAGTCACAGCAAATTATGCAAAAAATCTAGAAAGATTTAAGCTTAAATCTTGTTTAACGTTTAAACCGACATATCAATGACTGCAACCATCATGTTTTATACAAACCTTGCAAACTTTAAAACACATTCGCTAGTGATACCTGCGAAAGTATTCAGTATAATTTCTGGTAAGATTTTCGCGGACAATCTGATCGATTTCTCTTACATTGTGTGCTGAGACTGAAACAATTCACCTCACGAAAATCTACGTCGCACAGTCCAAACAAACATAGTGAGCAACTGAGCTACTAGTATATGTCCGTGTTGAAACACACGAAAGGACTCTAAAGCACACTTCATTCTGATTGGGCAGAAAAACACAAAGATTTTCTGGCACCAATCAGATGGCAGAACGACTGCGACTGTTTGGAACTAGTCTTGTAAGACAATGTCCCCAGGGGCTCTTCATGCCCTAACTTGAAATCGACCCACAGCCCCTGGGTCTCCGAGGATGAGGAAGTCTGAGTTCCAGTGCATTAATTTATGGTTTATGTTTGTGCATAATGACTTACAGTGCAATAAGCCAATTCTGAGTTTCTTCCCAGCCTCCTCCTTCAGATATTTCTGTTCCTTGGATTATTTTAGACAAGCAGTGAACTACATGAAAAAGAGAAACATTTAACCAAAATTTAATTAGTACACAATATTATCAAAGTGCAATATCTCATTCAATCTCTAAAGTTTCAGAGACAAACATGGTCAGAATTTTTTTGTCACTTTGTGGTTGGATCGAATCACGTAATTTGAGAGACAAGCTCAGATTAGGTGACTTTTAATTACAGAATGTATTTCTTAACCCTTTAACTCGCATGATATAGGATCCATCTGTAACACATTCCCTTGTTAAATAGTAAAAGAATCTGGTGTTAGATCAAGATAACAAGTTCTACCTGTTGGAGTATCCTCATTACCTCTTTAGCGGACAATGTATGGAGATTACAGAAAGATGAAACACTTCTGGGAGTTAAGAGTTAATTGAAGAATGGGATAGAATCAAGATTGCGAAGTACTCAATATTTCTCAAGGTTAGAAGCCAACCCAAAGCTAAAAGTTTAGCTACCATTTTAATTCCGTTTTGTTATTTTCGTTTCTGGTTGTTTCATTGCATAACATCATGTGACTTATTCCCATGTGCTTTTAGATTTTGAAGTCGCTTCGCTAACGTATGTTGTAGTCCTGGTATGGGTCGTTGTATTCCCAGTCAGGGTAAAACTGTTCTTTAAAGTGCTTAAGGCATGTTTGTTTGTTTTATTAAATGAGCCATAAAGGTTACGAAAAGCTTATCCTAACCAGAGTCATGGGTGAAAAATGCCAGTCTAGCTTCTTCAAAATCAATGTCCTCTCCACCAATTACAGTTATCAGCTTCTTCAACATTGCATCAATAATTCCCTGCAGACTTGTCTCCTGCAGTCCAAGAAGTAATATTGGTCGTTCAAGGAAAGTTTCAACATCCTTGGCTGCTCTGATTTCAGCGCAGAAGTTTTTTGAAGGGAGTTTCTGCAATGCAGCAAATTGAAAGAAATGAAATTACATAGTACAAGAAGCTAAAAAGAAATACAAGACATTTAAGATACTGTTTAAACTTATAGTGTATGCCATCTCAAGGCTAGCTATCCAACACTAGTCCACCTTAAATTTGGTCCTAATAGCATTGTGTGGTTGTCAATGTTAAGGTTTAGCATCTCATTGGCTCATTATACACCAGATGTTCAAAGGCGACCATTGAAAAAACATGTTTCCACCTATCTTCCCCACCAACAAAAGTGTTCAACCACTTCCAACTATTTTTTCCACATATTTACATCTTGTTGTAATTACTATTTTCCAAACTTACCATTATGGTGATCATCAATGTGCATAATCATTCAATGCTAGTATTAATCATGCCTGTGGTGTTGTGTAACAGACCACCAACATTCAAAATTAACCCACCAACTTCCAAGATCTGATTATTAATTCTACCCTCTAGCAGCTACACATTTTCTTGTAAATTAGTGATGTGAATTCTGAGTTAGATCAAAATAAAAAAAATCTGCCAGACAAGTTTGCTGGATAGTGTACAGATATCAAAAGGAGAAGACATACATGTAAGTTAATCGCTTCTGAAGGTTTAACAGTCAAAATATATAATTATAATTGATTAACAACAGTAACTGTGAATAATTATTCATCTTGAAAAAAGTATCTACTTAAATTAAATTTAGTACTCACCTGGTGGCTAGACAGCATTAGAGAAGTACCAGGAACACCATCTTCTGAATTAAAAGAAAACAAATTCCTTGAAATAGATATCTTTTTTAACCAAGTAAGCAAATTTAAACAATATGCACAGGGCCAACTCTCAGACACTGCTGACCATTAAATCAGAGAATCTTAACATATTTATAAATAAAAGATTAACACATTCTCATCAAGTAGTGCATTGTTAACATTATTTTTTCTAAACCCTTCGACCCCTCACAGACCAGCATCTAATTTCTCCTTATAATTATCATCCCTGAATCAAACATTAAGGTCACAAGAATAAAGGGATGATCAACTAAAGAAGCTCTTGATTGTTAAACAAATTTGTCTTTTCGGCATTTTACAAAATGTATGGGGAATATAAATGTTGCAGGTAATTTTTTTTCTAAGGGAAAAATTCAGCAAGTGAACAACTAAAAATGAATCCAATCAGTAGACATCAACTGAAAAAGTGCTTATACACATCAGAAGACAGTTGCACCTGTACTAAGCGGCAATGTATTAAGCCATCACCTGCAGATAAGCAGTTTGTGGCCGCAGTCCTAAAATTGTTTCCCCTTCATCAAAGTAATTTTCAACTCTATTAAATGGCCACCTCCATTAAGCAATAGCAATCACCCTTTGCTAAGTTCTAATGGTCTGTTTGTATTATCTTCCACCTTTATTGAATGGTTACTTGAAGCCAAACCACTCAAATAACCCCCTGAAGTAATTATTAATCTGTGTGTCTCTCCCAAAATTGAAGTAAGTAGTATTTTGGAGCAAAATTCTGTACACTAAATGGTCAATTACAGTATTAAGAGGCATTGTGTATGATTTTTATTAATATCCCTAAGTATTGCATATTATGCAATCAAACTGGATTAAGCAGTCACTCTGCTATTCCCAATGAGTGACCAATTAATACAGGTCTAACTGTATCAAGAATTAAATGAGTGGGTAAAAAAATCTAGCTATGGAAACTAGGCTGAATGGTTTACACCTTACTACTTAAGTTTACCGAACCAGTAAAACAAACATTTCAATTGTAATTTTGACTTTGTTAATTATGAGGGTATCAATGTCCACAGTTTTATTTTCTGTTTGAGGAGGTAATGGTTCTTCGATATACTGTTTGGTCAGAAGTTTTTAAAAGTGTACTGTGCTACCCAAGTAGATGAAATCCTGAACAAAACAATGCCTTTACACAAAGGCATATATTGCATTTAGGCTTCTGAACAGGAATGCACATCACAGTATAAATAATTTGAAGTTTTCCCTCTTAAATATGTGATGTGTGAAATGCTGTTTAAAGTATGCATGACACTTCAATTTTTCCAAAATTTGTGCTTGAAACAGGATTAGGACCCACCCTTTGCCACTCTCTAAAGCTATGTGAAGTAGTACTTGTAGCTTATCAAGTGAAAGTAAATATTTGCTATTCCTGTCAATAAGTGTCGTGGCTTTTTACCAATGCCATTATTGCAATAACCTTTGGATGGTTGACCATCAGTGAAGTGTTGTAAAGGTAGCATCTTTAGGTAGAGGAGTTAGGTCACTTGCTGACGAGACCCTTGGAGTAGATTTATGAAGCCCTTTTGGTAGTTTAGATGTGATTAGGGCCAGTTAATCAAATCAAGCTTGTTGCTTGATAAAGATCACATTACTGAAGGTATGATATAAATATGACCATGAGCTAGGCAAGACCATCACATTATTGTCACATGTATCTCATATCCAAAACAAAAATTAAGAACCCCAGGGCTCAATACTAACTTTTCAACTTACTAGCCAAGTGGCTGGTGATAACTTAGATGTTACAATAAATTCAGTTTGTTAACTAGCCAAAATATCAAATGGAAATCGAAAACCACTTGCCAAAACTAAATTTCTGCTAGTCTGTGGCTTATGTGGCTAGTTGGCTACCGTTAGTGTTGGGCCCTGAACACCTAATGACAGTGTATTCAATTTGAAAAAAACTTGCTATCACTAAGAATGTATATTCAGCGAGGAGAGTTTGTTAACCTCGCCGACACTAACACCCCTTGCAAAGAAACATCCTAATCAAGACCCAGCCAAGCAAACTCGGTGTGTGATAGAGATCACATTGCTGAAGGTACTAAATTATAAATGTGACTTTGATCCATGCATGACCATCACGTTCCTGTCACAGAATCTTTACAAAGGGCAAAAAAAAACTGGATAACCCTGGGAACAAAACTTTTCAATCTCAAAAACAACGTGCTCTCACTGATGGAGGATGTTTATTCAATTTGTCGGGAAAGTTTGTTAACCTCCCCGGCCCTAACACGTACGTACCTCGTGCAGAGAAACATGCAAGTCGTGACAGACATTTTTGGCTCATCGACTGAACATTACGTTAACGGGAATTTTAAAAAAAGCCTTCTTACCTTCAACTAAATATGATTCATCCACTGTCTCGTTGTCAAACCCTTGTCCACAAGAATTCAAATTAATTATCTCAACCGTTTCTATTTCACTTTCATCGTCGTCACAGTCTGTGAACTTCAACATTTCCATTGCCGGCGTCACGTCTCCTTGGCTGTTGTTTAGATTCCTTTCGTCGATATTAGCAATATAAAAGCCGTCTACACTCCTTCCTGTGGAAGAACCATTTTCGTCCTCTTTTCCAACACCTTTAGGTTGATTGAAAGGTCTTTGCATGTTGTTTTATATATTTTATAGATTTAACCTTTTTATCAAAACCACTAAGACTGCCGTAAAAGTTGTGTTTCAGGAAAGTGCAAGGCCGAAAGAACTTTGTATACTCGAGGAAGTACATGCATGACCATCGACTTGCTGCCAGGCAGCTTGTAACTCTTTCAAAACTGACATTTTAAGACAAAAAAAAAACCCCTCATTGTCGGCCCACGGGCAATCTCTATGAAGATAACACCACGCGTTTTTTGCCGCCAATTATCAAATGACAACTGGATAGTACCCTTTTCTCTGATTGGCTAAATATCTGTCGGTAAATTGCTGGGAAACAGAGGAGCTATTTTTAAAATTCTATTTTCCCCTTTTTTTTCCCCTTAAAGTTTACGCCCTTTGTTTTGTTTTTCTTGTAGATCATTCTACACCTTTGCGTTTTTTCTTTTTTCTTACGTACTGTGGCAGTAGTCGATTTTACTGTGATCCATACTGCTGTGAAGACCGACTATTTCGCAAAGCGAAGATTATAATTAAAAAAAAGATTGGCGAAATTTACGAAACTGTAACCCAAAAAATTGTAAAAAATTGTAACCCAAAAAATATAACACTTATGAATATAAAAAATTTGCCAGTTTTCTTAAATTTTTTTAAAAAAAGAACAAAAACAAATCTGCTGAGCAGTTACTTCTGTGTCCCACCTGAAGGATGCGGTGCCTGATTCTTCACAGACAATTCTTTCACGGGATATTCTACCTTGCCTCATTCATTATCAAGTAGCCCTTGTTTTTCTCCCTATAGGAAATGAACTCGACTGAACTTCAATGTTTCATTACATAGAAGTCACTGTTGTTTGTTTAACGGGAGAGATGTTCTCTAAAAACAAGTACTCTCATGGTTCATAGGCAACATTTGACAAACTCCATGTCATTGATTAATCGAATTTCCGCTCATATATCAATCAAGGCAACAACATATGACATTTTTTTTATCTTTTCATGATTTCATGATTAACTCACTCCTTATTAAAAGGGAAAACTAACTGATATTTTCAGATTTTTCTCTATCATCGAAAGTTTTATCACCAAAAATGGTTTCGATTTTACTGCTCAAAACTTTTTCAAGAGGAAAAAACTTAACCAATTTTACTGCATATTTAACCTTAGCACACCATTTTTTAATTGGCAACGAAGGAAATCGAAATCTTATGTTATCGACTGGATATCAAATCAGCTAAGTAAATAAAAGGAAAAAATTACCCTTGAAAAGTTTTCGCAAGTGAAATGCCCAATGAAATAAAAGTTTTTGTCTTCATCTATTCTGAGATTCTGACAAATTAGAATTCGCTCTGACGAGGGGCTAACGCTCGAAACGTCAGCTTTTATAATCGTAACGGGAGCCAATTTACCATTTCAACTTTGTTGATATATTCAAATTATTTCGTTACCCCCACCGACGCAACCCCAAACAGTTTCTTTAGGAACTATCAGCCTTTATAAATTAGAAATTGGACAGGAAACACTTTTTTACCACAGTTTATTTTGGATTTACCAATTCGCCAATAAAAACAAATTTCATAGACCAAGCTGCTAGGAGAGAAAATACAGTTTTCCAAAATGATTCATCATTTTCTAAATCAACAAATTCTAAGGAACACATGCAACAGGGAAAACATAACACAACGAAAGTCCTACAAGATCCAATCATACATTGCCGCCAACTGCCGACATGTCGAGTATTTTTTTTAACATTACTTGACCCCGTTCATTGTATCATACCATACACGGCACCATTGATTTCTTAGGCCCTCTTTCTAACAGCTGTGTTTTGTCGACAAACAGCTGAACCGTATACAGTCGAACCTGTATTTAGCGGTCACACTGTTTTTGAGCGGTCAGTTGCACATGCCTAAGTCCCAGATTTGTCCCCCTAATTACTGTAATTTTCACCTCTATTAGGGGTCACCTATGTGAAGCGCTCGCGGTCATCCTATACTTAGTCCGAGCGGTACTAAGCGGTACCATCCCAAACCCTAACCCTAACCCTAACCCTAACCTTAATCAGTAAAATGAATGCTTAACCCTAATCAGTGAAATTAATGCTTAACCCTAATCAGTAAAATGAATGCTTAAGGCTAATCAGTAAAAGGGGTGCTTAAACAGTAATAAGTAAAATTAAACGTACTGGATAAAAAAAAATTAAACTGGTTCAAAAAAATTGAACTGGTTTGGAAAAAATTAAACAAGAGGATAAAATTGAACTACAACATATATATTGTCCTCCACCTGTGTGAAACGGTCGCTTAAAGCCGACCACTTAACTTGAAAACTAAGAATAATCTTTAAAGTAATTTTTGACTCATGTTTCCCTCCCACGAATCAAAGTAAGAAATACTTTTGAGCGAAATTCCGTAAATTGGCTATCAATTATGCCATAAAGAAGCGTGGTATATCGGTTTTTCTTTTTTTTTCTTTTTTTTTGTAATACCCTTGTGGAACCTGTATTTGGCGGTCAATCTGTATTTGGCGGTCAATCTGTATTTAGCGGTCAGTCTGTGGGTAACCGTTTAGTACACGTTTGACTAACTTCGGTTTCAGGCTAAACTTACCGTGCATGCACCCCAGGATAGTCAAGAATCTTGCTTACTCCAGCCCCCTCAGATTAGAAAGCGTTCTCATGGTTACGTGTGTTTGAAAAGGATCCGGGATATATCAATTCAAAATGGCGGCAATTAGAAGCAGACATTGAGCAAATGTTGCCTGAAACAAAATAATTTTTCGGGAAATTTTTCGTCAAAATGCCTGAAGAAAGAAAAGAAGATGCAGATGCCTCTATTGCTGGCGAAGAAGAAGGCGAGGAGGAGATTCCGTCAGATATCATGCCACTTTTCTTCACCAGCAAAACTCAAGAAATCTTTGGCTGCAAGGGCGACGAGGATGTTACGGAGGAGAACCCGCACAAATTGATCCCGAAGGAAGCAATCATTCAGGATTTTAAAGACAGGGCAGCTGTCTCAGATTTTCATCCAGTTAAGCAAGTTGTATTGGTAAGTTTCATACCTTTTAGGTCAACGTAGGTGGTAGCAGCATCCATGTAAACATTTTGTCCTGCATCTACTTGTTAAGCTTGTATGCTTCATCAGTCTGTTGCTGTAGATCCCCAGAATGGATTGTATTGGTTAATTTAGATATCTGTCTGAGGTTTCAAGGTTTGCTTAACCGTGCATTCTTATTTACTTCTTTAGAAAATAAGAAAAATTACTAGTGAGATCTTGAGACGTGTAAGGGTTAAATAAATGTTGCTAGGTCTCTCTCTTCCCATGGCTTCTTGTGAATATTTTTTTCCATCGTACGCATAGGACTATGCAGCTGATGAACTTCTTGTGGTATATGACCCCATGTTCAAGTATGGTCAAAATTTCTACCTTGCTCTCACTGAAGAGGCCAAGGAGAGGATTCTTAATGTAAGTATAAACTTTTATTTACATTTTTCAGAAAGAAGATCAAATCAAATCCAGGCCCTGGTCATTCAAAGGTTGGATAATGCTATATAGGGGATAAATCCTTATCCGGTGGATAGCTCAGTACGTTTTGCTATCACCTATCTGCTGGATAGTGATTTTGAATTTTTTTGATAACATTATCCGTCCTTTATACAACAGGGCCCAGATCTCTGGGGTGCCCCCTACTAGAACCAACCAATTATTGTTACTGTTATTATTACAGCCAGCTAAATAGTGCTGTCTGGTAGAAAAGGTTTGTGCAAAGAAATGGAAAGTTGATCTTCACTGCAAATGTAAATACAGTTTAAATCTGCATCATTAATAGAAACTCTGCAAGAACTTTGACCAAACATTAGATGAACTTGGCTGATGTGAGATTTCAGTTGTTGTCTCCAATTGAATTATGGTTATTTTATGCCCTTATTTGTCCCTAGCCCCCTCAAGATGAAACACAAGAGGGTGAAGGAGAGGAGGGAGGCGAAGAAGACCTGATCCTAACACTCAGAAAATTCCCCAGAACACCACAGCCATGGCAGTCTCTTGGAAGTGAAGCTGAAGTAGAGGAAGAAAATGTGGTAGAAAACAGACCAAAGGTCAGGAACAGAAAATTTAAGTAAAAATTGTCTTTTAACTTCTCTTCTTTCTAACACGACCCTATATGCCTTTCTACATGAATAATTTTCTCATCAGGTTAAATTTAGGATTTCAAGGATGAGGCGGGAGTTTGGGGCACCTGTGACTTTTGGTGACCGAAACGTATCTGATGCAAAGGATGGCTTTGTAGAATGTCCCTCGTTTGAAGATGAAGGGTATAGCTTGCTTAAGAAAGAGCTGGACAAAGGCATACAGGTACAAAGCACATTTTGGGTGCATTTGTAGATTTTCAATTAACCCACTGTTGGTGAAGTGGAAGTTACTGTCCCATGACTAAAAATTCTTAAATATAATTTCAACCCTAATTTCTTAATTACAGCTGTAGCTTAAAACAATTATAGCTCTTACTTTATGGATATGATCACAACGTAAACTGTCTATCCTATAAATGTCTTGTTATAGGCAGTTCCAGTGTTGACAGACAATGGAAATCAAACAGAATGGTAAGACATATTGTATAACCGAGATTATTGTAGATATAAAAATGATTGTACTTTGATAAACATGTTCACTATAACCATCTTCAGATTCCCAAAGCCTTTAATTTGGTATGCGGATATCAAAATTAACCATACATTTAATTAGGGGAATTACATGCAATCAATTTAACTAAAAATCTACTTACAGGAGAAAACCACGTAATGCTGTGACACAATATAGTGCTAGAACCTTGGAAGAGAAATCCAAAGATGACATCATAAGAGCAACAACAGACCTCATAAGCTTTATTGAGAAAGTCACACCAAGGTACAAAAAAGCCAACCCATTGGGTGTCATTGAGTGTATAATTACATGTGCATTATTTGTCTGTCAACATTGTATTTATTTATACCAATTGATTCACATGATCTTGAATGTTTTCCTTTGTTCTTGTTGAGCCTCTTGACTTTTGTTTTTGATACTGTCCAGTCCATTATGCGTACCAGTCGTACACAAAAAAGTATGTATCTTACAATAGGCTTTTTAAAAATGATTCAACTTGTTTAAAATTATATATTTCTCATGCAGGTTTGAGCTGGCCTTGCAGCAAAATGAGATATTAGATGTATTCTACGATGATTACTTATCTCTGGCTGATGATGAAACTACTTTTGGAGCAAAATCAGACAATTACTTAAAGGTTTGTGAAAGTCTTTCAACATTTTAGTATGAGCTTAAAACAGTTTTCGAACAAAAGATTGTGCATGTAATTATCAATAACAACCATGCTGTCATAGAGAGTTGTTCTCTACTGTATACAAATTGAGGTTAACTACAGTTATAATTGTGCCATTTACTGGTTACTTGATTGATAATGGTATTAGTGGGAGTAGAGTTCAATTTGACTTGTAATCTTAGCAGTGATGAAAAGAATTGTATGACTGTGAAGAGAGAGTGTGATTTAACAGCCTTTGTCACCCTGGGAACCTAATGTAGACCTTCGCTCAATAACTCAAAGAAAACCATCTACATACCAATTCCAATCACAGAGTCAAAGTGACTCATAAAATAACTGTCCAACTTTTAAGCATTACTTGCAGACTCTACCATTAGTGCTTAAATCAGACTGCTGCTAACCAATCCCATTCAATAATTTTCATGAGGGAGAACAGTTTTAATTAAACTATTCAACATAAAGGGACTTTGACAGTAATGAATACAAATTTTAACAGGAATACCAGTCATTTACTGATCTTCAGTATAGCAAAGAAAAAACAATCACAGATATTCAATGGCATCCAGTTATCAAAGGTATGATGAAAGTGATCAATAATTTATTAACAGCAATTAAAATAAATAATAGTATTATTATAATTGCATGTACATGTCAACTTAATAACTGCCCCCACCTGCTTTAGTGATCCACCTTTTGCTTGCAACACATACTTAAGATGTGTACTCTGTCCTATAAATTCTGCCATAGCTTTGTGATTTGTGTCACATTCCTTGGTTTTCACAGGAATCATTGCAGTTTCCTGTGGTGAGGACCTTTCATTTGATGACAGAGTGGATAATTTTTCTCGCATTCTTATGACATCTTCCCTGGTTCTTATTTGGAGTTTTTCAGATCCAATTCATCCCCTGGTTAGTAATAGTAAATTATCACTTTTTTTTTAGCACCATTTCATATTTAGTTGTAAATCACAATTTTCATGTACAATTTAGAACATGGCTAATAGTCTGTAGTCATTGTTCTTCAAGCCCTTTTTTAATTTTGCGCAAAAGATGTTTGAAAGGAAGTAGCCAACTGAAACAAATTTGTGGTTTGCCCTTTAATTTGAGAATTTCCCAAACATGATCAATTAATTGCTTATGACATAACAGGGCTATAACTTTAAAAGCAAAAGCATATGATAAACAACAGGCCAACAACTTCCCTGAGGTAATAGAATACTTGCGGTTGAAAATAACACTATTTTGTAGATACATGCATGCATCTCATTCTTATTTCTTAAGCAGTTTTGTGTAACTTTAAATATGCTAACAGGGTATGACAATTCAAGTGTAAACTTCAATCTGATTGTGACTTGTTTATAAGTGAGAGTATTTAAAACAATTGGCCTTTCAAAACACTCTCAAAGTACAGGTGTATATATATATCTTATTAACCAAGCACGAGGGCCATACTGGGAGAATATCGGCCTGAGGTCTTGACAGTACAGACCGAGCTGTGCTCGGTCCGTACAAAAAAGACCAAGGGCCGATATTCTTCCTGTACGGTCCCGAGCAAGCTTGGTTAATAAGAGATATATTATACGACTGAAGTTCAAAGGGACACAAGTGCGGTATCATTCGGGACCATTCGGGACAGTGCCCGGTCCAATACTGAGAGAATATTGCCCGGCAATAGAGCATTTTGGTTGATTTCAGTTATTGGCCCTCTCACTGCCTGAGTTGTGTAATAAGGTGTATATATTACTGAAGTGAGTGATTTTTTTTTCAGGCCCTTCTTGAAGCTCCTGATGATATCTTTTCCTTCAAATTTAATCCTTCTGATCCAAATATCATTGCTGGAGGATGCATTAATGGACAGGTAATCCCACTGACTTTCCTGTTCCTCTACTATTCCTCTAAATATCAATAAGAGAAGAAGAGGATTCCAAACTTGCCCCCTTATCGGATCAGAATTTAGCTGCCAGGAAATAAATGTGAAGCCTATTTAATTGCTTCTATTGGTTTTTGTTTCAAGAAGTTCATAATGAAAGTTATTAATTAAATGCATTTATCCAGAACTCATTTTGAGTTATTATGATCACAATTTTTTATCATTGTAAGCTGAGGTCTTGGGAATTTGATGGTTGTACATAGTTGTCAGTAATGTTTCCACTTTCTTTTTTTTTTTATTTTTGTTAGATTGTTTTGTGGGACATAACAAACCACAGTGAAAGATTACGTACTCACAGGCAATCTCATGGCCAGAGCAAGAAGAATTCTATGCACTCTTTGGTGAGCAATCTAGATTTTTTTTTATACAAATCAATACTTGATTCTGCAGCTAGAGAGTATGTAAGGCAAGCCAGGAATGGACAGATTGCATGGACATCTACCGCAAACAGGATGTTCTTAATAACATGACTTAGCTCAGTATCAAGATGAAACTCATTATGATTTTTATAATTGTTAATAACTATTAATCTCTGGTGCTTAAAATCCTCAAAGATGCAACTATATCGAAACAGTGTGCAGTTAATCCTAGATATTAATCAGGTCTGTTAAGATTCTTACTCTTACTAACACTCTGTTGTCTTAAATCTCAAAAGCCTGGCTTTCAAGATGAATCAAGCTTTGATCGATCACCCATTCTGAGATATTGTGCTGTATCATCAATAGAACACAGTCACAAGACTGTTGTTACAGACATCACATGGATTCCAGACCACATGGAGGTGAATATCATAAATTTAGTATAATTTCAGAGCTGAACAAAGTGTTTCCAGCATTCTGATTGGTCAAGCAGTTCCTTATATGACGCTATGTAAACTGCTCCGTGCGGTTTATATAAAATGTTAAACTAAAATGTTAATAAATGTTACTAAAATGTTATGATTTAAGAAATTTCTCTGTTGTTCAGCTCTGGGATTATTCGACGATATTCACCTCGCCTTCGGCGAATAATTGTTAATTAATATGTATCTTTATTTGTTTGTTTGTATATGCCTTCTGGTGTCATGTTTTGTGAGGTTCTTCAAGTGCAGATCATGTGCTGAAATTAGTTAGAAGAAAGGCTTGATTACCAGTGGGTTTGGTTTCCAACATTTTTCTGGGTGTGGTCATTCATCCTCTTGAGAAGGGGGGAAGGGGGTAACAGGGTCATTTCCCATAGCAGAAGCTGGTAGTTACCCCTTTATCAAGCACTGACTTTGGACAATAAGCCTCCTCTCCTTTCCTGAAAAGAGTTCCCTGTTGGGAGGATCAAATATTAGAGCAGAGAAAAAAGGTAGAATTCATGCCTTTTGGACAGTTAAATATGCAACAAGAAGACATCTTTCTTTTTAATATGAGTGTGTCAAGGAAAGGTCGTATCAAGTTATCTGCAAATTGTGTCTCAGATTGGGCGCATGGGAGTTGTTGTCGAAAACAAATCACAGCAGTGCAATCAGTTAATGTCCTGCGCTGCAGATGGGTGAGTGATGAGTGAAACTTTGTGATATATTAAGGAATCAAATACTATTAAATAAATATTATTTTTGATTTTATATCAGCTAATGTCATCATTTTATCACTCCTATTACCACCCACAATAAATATCATAATCATATTCATACTCTAGTAATACTTTCTTTGGAGATAAAAGATTCAAAAGTTGATGATCAAAATTTCAAGCATGTAATAATGTAAGGATATAGCAGTTAAGCGATAGTATGTTGCTAAAGGACCACATTACATGAAGAAACACAACTCTGTAGTTTTTTGACTAACAAAATACTAATATTTTTTCATTTTCCCAAAATTATGATAAATGAATTACATGGTTCTGAATGTTTTATTTTTTCCTTCTTTCTTGATGTTTATATTTTTAGTACTGTCCTTGTTTGGGACACACGCCCCAGTAAGTCTGCAGCACCAAGTCAAACAGCAGGTCATAACCCAGTTGGAATTCTTCCCACATTTAAACACTTGGACTTAACATGGAAGCCAGTCCTAAGGGTAATTTTACATAATTAATGTATTTTAATTTGTTGTCAGCTTTTTAGTTTATCAAATTTTTCATGCAAGGGATTTCGTCTTTAACTGTAACAAAATTGATAAGGACTATACATGCATATGTATTTTGTAGGTCAATTTGTTCTTTAGGTAAATTTGTTTCAAACTAGGTTAATTTTATCTCAACCTAGGTCTGTTGCTGATGTCTGTNGAAAGGGCTAATGCTCCCACGAAGGGCTAACGCTCGAAACATCAGTTTTTGTAATTGTTATGGTGGCCAATTCACTATTTCAACTTTGTTGATATATCCAAATTATAAAGTGAACTTATAGATGTGTATATAGTCCACATACAGTGCAAATGTAGGCTCACACAACAAATTACAGATTGTAATTTAGGTTAACTAATTAAATTTAAAGTAGTTCACCTGATTAAATTATACAGTTATGTATAATTACTATTTGACTTACATGCTGTTGATGAAATTCTCTAGGGCCACAGTGATCTAATAAATCAACACTTTAGGTACAGTTCATCAGCTTCAGCACTTTACACCCTAAGATCAGTATTCATTTTCGCCATACTGTTCTCTATACAGTTCCTAAGCAGCTCTCAAGCAGAATTTGTGTAACAATCAAGAGTTTCTTTTGTTTTTGATCATTTCCTTTATTTTTGGGACCTTAACTGTGTTACTCAGTGATGATATTGTAAGGAGAATTTAGATGCTAGTCACTATTTGGGGTCAAAGGATTAATGTCAGTGTAAATAGCCTGTGTAGAAGCCCTAGAGGGAAGGAGGTGGGGAGCAGAGCAGAGCGAGGCTCGGGGAAGGGATAGGAGGGCAAACAGAGCAAGGCTTCCCACCCCCTTCCCCCCTCCCTCTAGGGCCGCTACACAGGCTACAGTGCAAAAGGCATTCAGGATCACATAATATACATGTCTTAAACAAATATTAGTTGGACGTAGTGAAATATTACATATGTCTCCACCTGTTGTATTTTAACAGTAAAACCCAGTGAGGAGAAAGAGACAAGAGAGATATCCAACTTATCAACCGGTATATCCAAAAGTAGAGATCACAGCAAGCCTTTGGAGAATGTCAGCTCAAAATTTTTCATTGGAACTGAGGTTAGTCTTTGGAAGAACACTCACCTCCAGCTTGTGATTTTCAAACTTTTTTTGAATTCTCCAACATCTCAAGTGGGTTCTTACAATGTTAGCTAAGAGAAAGTGTGTTCTGTTGTTGCTGTGGGTCACCTCATCCTGAAAGAGTTGTTGTGTCATGACATTTGCATTCAGATGGTAGCCTGCACAGCTGGTAGTTTTCTATATGCTTTAAAACATTGAGTGAAGGCTTGGAAATCTCCAGCCCTTTAGGAAACCAAATAATTTGGTTATATCAACAAAGTTGAAGTGGTAAATTGGCCACTGTAACGATTACAAAAGCTGACGTTTCGAGCGTTAGCCCTTCGTCGGAGCTAACGCTCGAAACGTCAGCTTTTGTAATCGTTATGGTGGCCAATTTACCACAGTGACTTCAACTTTGTTGATATATCCAAATTATTTCGTTACTCCCACCGGCGCAGCCACAAACAGTTTCTTTGGAAACTATCAGCCTTTAGGAAACCAGATACATATTGGTAGAACATGATGCATAACATACATGTTTCCTCACTGTTACTTTTAATTTGTCAGGAAGGTGATTTGGTGTATATGGATTGGAAACCTGAGAAAGATACAGATAGTGGAAAGATTGTGTGTAAGTTTGTAGTTCATGCTTTATCATGACTTGTTTTTGAATTGTTAACCCATCGTACTGACATCTTTAAGCACAGCAATCAACCTTTGACAATGTCAGTTACCGATAACTGGCTAGAATTTTTCTAAACAACCAATTTCCATCAGGTCACCCAAAATACAAAATATGAAGCTGTACTGTTTTAGGGGTCATCATGTTAAGTTGGCCTTTTTGTAGAAACAAGCTTTGAAGGTAAACTGTCTCTTTTCTTCAGCCCCCCGCCCTGAGCAGGTGTGGTTAGCACATGATGGCCCCATCACCACCCTACAGAGGTCACCTTTCTTCAGGGATATACTTCTTACTGTGGGAGGATGGACTTTTGCAATTTGGAAGGAAGGAGTAACGGTACAGTGCTTTAATTCTTTGTGTTCGCTTCAAGGAACTGGGCTGGTTATAGTAATATCATATTTTACAGTGAAGACAACTTTGATGGTGATACATATATGATGAAGGCTATGTACATGTGTGTGATTGTCAGAATCAGTTGAGCTTTTGAAAATTGGGAAAAATGGGAACTCGTCACTTTCCAGGTCAAATGCATTACCCTAACTATTACCCTTGTAATAGTCCTTCTAATAACTGTAAGCATAGTACAGTTGAAAACATATGAGTTCAAAAAGTCTAACAGCATATTACTTTGTCACGCTTGACCCTGATGAGAGGATTTATGTTAAAGGTCATACAAATGAAAATTTTGCCAAGCCAGTTTTATGCTGTGCTGGGCTGTGATTCCCCTCAGGTTTCCTGCCTCCCCCCCCCTCCCCCCTCAACTGCTCCTTCACCTCTGTTGTGATTGGTTGATTATCCTTGATATCAATGTTAATGACAGAAACAAACTTTTCTCTCTCTCCGCTTCTCTTTTCCTCCTCTCTCCCTTTTTCTTTCACACTTTCTCCTTCTTGTGTACAGAATGGTCCTCTTCTTCAATCAGCAAGTCATTTAATGAGGTTGTCAAGAGGACATTGGAGTCCATCAAGACCAGGTAATAAACCTGAATACATTCAGGGAAAGTATTGGGGGCCACACCTTTCAGATATGTTTTGCAATTTCAAAATGGTATGAATCAGACAAAAATTGAGGGGAATTTGTTGAGAGTTAAAAGCTCAAAACTAATTAGAAATATGTAATGTTACTGGTGATTTGCATTCTTATTAATGTGAAGGTGTAGTCTGATCGTCCGGGTGAGTGTAGTCCTGAGAAGGACTGTTGTCGGTGGTAGTCACTACCACCGACAACAGTCCTTCTCAGGACTATAGTGTATACACTCACCCGGATGATCAGATTACACCTTCACATGTTACCCCCGGGTTCAAGCCATTTACTGCATTCTTATTAATGTGTGGTACTGACACAGAAAATTGAGTGAAAGCTAATATTGAACAAGAGTGATTTGGAATGAAGAAGCTTATTTAAACGTGTTACACTATTTGAGATTTGATGTGAGCACCCAACGACTGTTAAGAATTTTTAGATCACAAGCGAGTACTAGGTATCTATCATGTGATTCTCAACCCTTATTTTCATTTCCAGGGGTGTTTTTCATCACAAAGACTGATGGTAATGTTGATGTATGGGATCTATTAGACAGGTATGGACCAAACATCAAATTCTCCACACCTTCAACAAAAGGATACACAAAGATAAGAAAGGAAAATTGAGATTTTTTGTTAACCTGGTATTTAAATGTGTACTCTTTTCTAAGGTCACACGAACCCTCGTTGACTCAGAATGTAACTGCAGCTCCCATTACTACGATATCTCCTCATCAGGTTTCAAGTAAGTGTGACAGCAGGTGTTATCTTGGTATTTTGCAGCTTATTCTGTTACTCATATGTGTAAAACCATGTGCAAAACCATCACAACAGTCAATCCCAACTAGAGAAAATATTATGAGGGGCCAATGAGAACTCCAAGTTAAACAGTAAACTGCTCTATTAACCCTTTCACTCCCATAAGTGACCAAGACAGAATTTCTCCTTACTGTATCAATGCAATATCAAGCAGACAAGTGAGTGGGATTATTGGTTGATCCAATACCAAATTCTCCAAACTAACTTCATAAGAATTGTATAGCAGACATTAAGGAGAGTTATTTATGAGATACATTGGGAGTGAAAGGGTTAGCAGGAAAACGCGCGTGGCCAAGTGGCCATGGGTATTTGTTTTACACCTGTCTGATTCAGAGGATGTAACATTTTTTTTCAGACCAATAGCGGAGCGTAAGGGAGAAAAAGACAACTCATCCAAGATTACTTTCTCCACATAATACTGAATTTCTCTGATTATCGATATGAGTTGTTATGAACTTGTAACATCCAACTCTTAAATCTCTCGGCTGCTGTAGTCACTGTATTGCTTGCTTGGTCTGGGTGTGGCTCCATTTAAGGACTACCAAAGGCGATTTGCAAGTGGCATTGTCGCTTCGGTTCCTTGCACAGTGACGTTTAATTGTTTGTTTATTTTTTTGTTTGTTTGTTTGATCAGGTAAGCAGCAGCTTCTAGCCGTCGGTGACAGTATGGGAACATTACATGTCATGGAAGTTCCTTGGAATCTAAGGCACCCGTCTGCCAATGAGGTTATTTTTTTTCCATTTTCTTCCTCGAACTTTGGCTGAGGAGTTTGTATTCAGATATAGGGCTGGAGCCAGTACTCTATCTGATAATACCGAAGTAGTAAGGTATATGACAGGGTTGTTGTTACACGCACTCGAAGTGTCCGTCCCCTCTCGTGAGAATAGTGTAATTACCTTTCCCCCCCCCGCTCCCTGCACTTCGTTTACACGTGTAGTTTTCTTTATGGGTTGTTTACCGGGGGAGGCATTGCGAGGCCACAATCTTAAACGTGGAATATTTATTACCTGTTCTTTTCATTTGAGTAAGTAGGCCGACCAGTCTTGCCCAGGTAGTTGAGAGTTGATTCTGTGTTACGTCTCGTAGGCCAATGCAATGGAAAACTTTTTCGAACGAGAAGTTAAGCGTCTGGCATTCGTGGAAGAGAGGATGAAGATCAGAGAACAGGAGAAGAAACAACTGGAAGCTGAAGAAAGCAAGCGACAACAGGTTAGCCATGACCAGGCAGAAAAGGGGGAAAATCACTAGAGAAGTAGTAATATTAGAAAGAAAGTAATTATAGATAAAAAATGAATGAGCATTGACACTGTGGAGAGGTTAAACATGAATCGAAGGAGTCACCTCCATACTAGTGTCTCTCAACCCTCTCACTGCCAAGATCTAATTAGCAATTCTCCTTACTGTCTGCCATACGATTCTTAGGATGTTAAAAGCTGATAGTTTCTGTTTGGGGCTGCGTCGGTGGGAGTAACGAAATAATTTGGATATATCTTAGGATATATCTTGGATATATCTTGGGATGTTAGTTTGGAGAATTTAGTATTGGATCAACTAATAAAAACTAATCTATACATCTACATCTACTTTATTACTCTTCAACGCTATTACACATCAAGAAGAGATAAAAGAATAAAAATATAAAAATATAAACATAGCTAATAAAAATAATAGATAAATAAAATATGTAATTAATAATATAGCTATCCTTAAAAAAAAAGAAATTAATAATAATTCCCTAATTGATATTTTTCTGTATTCTCATCACTTGTCTGCTTGATATCGTATTAATATTGTAAGGAGAAATTCTGTCTTGGTCACTCATGGGAGTTAAAGGGTTCATCGAGAACTGTTGTAAGAAAAGGTACAAATTGCGGACATGTGGGTACTGCTGCAGTGCTTTCAAGAAGCACCGACGGCCGACAAAAAGCGTCGACTACTTCGCTTAGAGAAGTCGGCTACATTTTCCCTAAATTTAAATAATTAAAGAAAGATTCTTTAAAAACTAAATTAAAATTAATTTTGATGGGCTTGTATGAACTTTTTACCTCAATTTAAAAATTGAAAAATTATCAAAAGATCGGACGCGACTCGTTAGTCATGGCACTCGACTCGTTTTGGGGGGTGATGTTAGGTCATTGGTGATGGATGTATAACTTGGCCAGGACCCCGACAGCATCGATTCCCATATCAAAATCGTACTTAAAATTGCTCAATACCTTGTATTGTGAAATCACTTTACGAGTGACAAGTAAAAGTCCCTTGTTAGTACGGTCGGTTACTCTCACGAACCAGCTGCCTACTTGAAATTTTATTGAAACTTCTGCACTGCTGTTAAGGCCATGGCGTCCGCAAGTTTGTTATATTCAATAGCAGTAAATGGTTTGAACCCGGAGGTAACATGTGAAGGTGTAGTCTGATCGTCCGGGTGAGTGTAGTCCTGAGAAGGACTGTTGTCGGTGGTAGTGACTGACGTTTCGACAACCTGTGCGGAAGTCATCATCAGAGTCAAGTGAATGATTGTTGTCAGTAGAATGTTCTTATTCCAGTTCGTGTGAAATGATCGGTTGGTTTTGCCGTGATGTTATTGGCTGTAAGACTCAAGTGACGTAAGTCGGTCGTGATTGGTCTGTTTCGATCTGTCGGTAAAGTTAGGTCGTTCTTTTTCGGTCGTTTGTGATGTTTATGTCGTGAATGAGTCGTTTGTATGGAGCGGGTAGTTGTTGACATCTGTTTAGGGGAGTCTGTTCTAAGTTAGTAAACCAGCTTTCCAGAGTCAGTCGTTGAAAATAGTCAGTGCTGTAGGTTAGGCATTGCGCAGAGTCCCAGTCAATGTTGTGGTTGGTAAGTCGATGGTGTTCAGCAATGTGATTGCTGACATCACCTTTCCTCGTCGCCCGTCTGTGTNGTTAACCTACAGCAATGACTATTTTGAACGACTGACTCTGGAAAGCTGGTTTACTAACTTAGAACAGACTCCCCTAAACAGATGTCAACAACTACCCGCTCCATACAAACGACTCATTCACGACATAAACATCACAAACGACCGAAAAAGAACGACCTAACTTTACCGACAGATCGAAACAGTTCAATCACGACCGACTTACCTCACTTGAGTCTTACAGCCAATAACATCAAGGCAAAACCAACTGATCATTTCACACGAACTGGAATAAGAACATTCTTCTGACAACAATCATTCACTTGACTCTGATGATGACTTCCGCACAGGTTGTCGAAACGTCAGTCACTACCACCGACAACAGTCCTTCTCAGGACTACACTCTCCCGGACAATCAGACTACACCCTCACATATTCAATAGCTTCTTCGGATTTCAAGCAACCTCCCAATAGACAAGCTACGTTCAGTGACTACGCACGCGTTACGGAGCTATTTTCTTGTGGAAACTCATTTACTCACCCCCTCTTACATTTTTGACGACGTAGTGAGTAGAGCAATGTGCAGTGCACAACCCGAAAAAAAACGCTCAGGCGTTTTCTTTATTGAACACACAGGAGGGCAAACGAGCCGAGGAAAGTGACGCCGATATTGAGGCTAAACAGAGAATGGTGAGTCATGTGACAACATAGCACTTACATTCTTACTTCCTCCTGAGAATCATTACAAACTTAGCACCAACCGTTTCCAGCGCTCGTTCATCCTAGCAATGTGTAGATTAGCGAACAATAACCTAGTGTAAACATGCGTACATAACCTACTCTTAGCCTCTTTTTCAAAACGAGGCCTAGTGCTCAACCATTCTTGTGAAAATGAGTTTAATTTGCATGTGAATGAAAACTTATTATCATATGAAAGGTTGAGCACCAGGACTCGTTTTAAAAATGAGGCCAAGGGTAATTCATCGATTCTTAGCTCAGCAGTTTTATCAATTTCTTGCTTTTAAACATAACCTGTTCTATAGTAATGTTATGCATTTTCTGTATGTATTGTAAAACATTAGGCAATTCAGCCTTTTGGCCGCAATAGGATATTTTAATAAACTATCTATCTAACTACGAGTTGTTCTCAGGAGTATTAAGAATCGCACGCTTTAGATTTCTGATGTATTTGTTCTATTTAAACCTCCTTGTGCTCATTAAATTTCTTATTGTTTCAACGTTTCACAGGAGTACCAGGAATATTTACAAATGGAGAAGCAGTTGCTAGAAGAGCTTGGCATCACAGAAGAATCAGATGATCTTATAGAGGTCTAATTGATGTTGTAATTGTGTTCAAGACTCGTTCGTTCGTTGATAGGTCCTTTAGTTATACGTGGTTGTAAATAGTGTATTTTTTGCTGTTGAATATTTTATGAAACATATTTCTGCTGTACGATTTCTGGTCTTGTTTCTTTCCACAAGGATGACCACGAGGGTCGATCGTGAGAAAACCCTCTCAACGATAACACCCGAAGGCTTCCGAATCTTATTTCGTGCCTTTAAGAATTTCACGACCGTTCAAGGAAACACTGAACGTCACGTCGTGTTGCGTAGCAACATCTGACAAACGTAAATACTGCTGACTGAGTTTGTTCCAGATCGCTGGCAAGTATCAGGAGTTATTTTCCAGTACAGTTTGATTTCAGTCACTAGTTGAAATTTAATTCAGAACGTCTATTTTATTGATTTTCATTTCTTGAACTAAACAATACCGCCAACGTTTAAGTCATTGTTTATACTTGAAGTGATATATTATTTTTAATCATATTGTCGACGTTTGAAATAATAAAGAAATTCTTATCAGCTATCAGATTGCTCCATATCTCTGCTGTATTACGTGAAGACGTTGTTTTGGCAAACCAAGACCGACATTATATTCTTTTCATTTTGAACTTTTCAAGTTTCCTCTACGTAAATTGTCGGGGAACTTAATTCTCACAAATAAACAATTACTCGCCAGAGGTTTTCAAGGATTAAGAATTTATTCCGATTTCCGCTCATCGAACGATACATTGTGTCTCAAGAGCTTATTCTTTAAAACTTCCCCCAACTTCAAAGGGGATTTTTACAAATGACAGTCTGGAAAGTGGTGTTATACCGACTCAATTGCGTTAAATTTTAATAAACATTTTTCTCTTGTCATCGTTCTGTTAAAAAATCTATTGCAGAGGGAATTGATAAAGTATTGCGAATGGACACTCCATGACAGATAGTGTTATTTCAATTTCCTTAAACTTCTTAATTAAGTTTTATTTATTAAACTACGTAACGAAAAAGCTATAAAGAGCGGGGTAAACTCCACTTTTAAGTATCAAAGATGTGGATTTGTACACGCGGCAAAGAAGGCTCTTTCATGTTATTCTTATTTATTTATTTTTCTTTTTTTCAAGCTTTTTAAGGTATATTCTGGGCAAATATTACCCCGGAAATTTTGAATTTCACAGAGTTAGACGTGCGATTTTGTGTTCCAAGATGTGCGATATCAATTTAGGAAAAAAAACTAATAATGGCTATTTTCCCTCTTGTTTGGATAACAGCTAAAAATCTGAATAAACATTTCTTAGCCAGGTGAGGCTGATCTAAATTGTGAGTGTCACAAAAAATTATCATATTTTCCTCTTAAAACTCCATTGAAAAAAAAATTTAAAAAAAATTAAAAAAAAAAGCGAAAAATTTTGCCATCTAATTTCTCACATTGATAATAGTTTATCAGATAATTTTCCTTGCATAAGCATACGCATTAAGGAACGTAGCATAAAAGGACGGTCGAAAGGTTTTTTTTTTTGCGTTTCAAATGAAACCACTCTTTTGTTAAGGGTGCAATTGGATAATTGAAATTTATAGCATTGGTAGACCGAAAGGTAAGATGTTCAAAAGCTAATGACAAGAAGTGTTTCTTGGCGAACATTTCAAAAACAGAAGTCGTATTTTATCTTAATATCTTTTTTTTTTTCATCCAATTTATTACTGAGAAACATTGATTTTAATGAAGACAACTTTTACGATGAATATGAAAGAAAATACAATGAAATTTGCGCCATTAAAGATCGGTAATTTGTTGTTGAAAGATTTCTTTTGAATCAGAGTAATATTTCGTGTGAATTCTTATTCGAAAGACAACTTTAATCCGATTCCGCATCTTATATATAACACCAGCGATTTAACTTAAAAAAAAAAAAACATACAAAAATTCTACTTGGATTTTTCCTTTTTGTATTTTAATTAATTATGCACTTTGTCTTATAAAATTAAAACTACAGGTAAATATTACTTTCAGTTCCATAGCTATATTGAATCGGTCCTTTAAATGGATAATAAGAAATTCATAAACTTTTTTTAAAGCGATCCATTCAAGGTATCGCGTAATAACGCAATTATTAACGAGTACTCAGTTAAAATCTTAGCTTATGATTCAGGGAACACAAGTGAACTGTCGATGAGGACGTCATTAACTTTGTTGTAGGTGTTTTCCGTGGAGATGCATATATGCTGATCTAATGAAAAATAAACATTTTCGTACACACAGCCCACAGGGCTGACAGGTGCGTTTGATATCCGAACGTCCTCTTATAAATCATTCTGACTTAAACGATTCCGCATTACCTTGCGTTGTTAAATAATTCACGCAGGTTTTCAAGTTGACAGTGAAAGTTGGAACATTCGTTAGTTTTTGCGTAAAAAAGTATTTGATTCCAGATTAAATACCCACTCAATTTCGCTTCCGCGCGCAGTTTCACTTTATTTGTCAGTTCTGCTATTTGATTATTGGTCAATGCACAGCGTCGTCAGAGAACGCCATCACTTTACTGGTTAGGTTGGTCTGTTCCTTAGTTACACTTGTCGCAGTAAAATGCCATCGTTAAGTTCTTCAACAACCACCGAAGATATGGATGTTATTAACTGCAGTTTTCAAGTCTTGATACGGTTTCCACACACCATGTCTGCGCGCCTCACAGGCATCGTTACTTGTATTATCAGCGCACTGGGCTTGATGACTGCTGTGTCATGCAATACGTTATTTATTGTAGCCTTTGGGCGGACACGAGAACTTCGTACGTACGCGAACTTATTCCTTGTTAGCCTATCATGTACTGACTTACTTGTAGGCTCCATTGTGGAACCACTGTACATAACGCGGCAATCTCTGGCGCTATCGGGAAAAGATGACTGTGGTGTTTGGATCGCTTATTTGACAATGGCTCTGTTCTGTACGGGTGCGTCATTTCTGAACTTAACCTTAATAAGCTGTGAGCGCTATGTCGCGATATTTTCTCCGTTAAACTACGTGAGGCTGGTAACAAAATCTCGGGTGTTGAGTATAATCGGTGGAGTGTGGCTAGCGTGGGTGACACTGACTTGCGTGCGTTTTGCTGGAATACCAAACCGTATTGTATACCTGATTTGTTTCGCTGTCATTGGCTCATGTTATGCTATTACGGCTTTTGTCTACTTCTTTATTTTCCGAGAAGCCAGAAGGCATCATCGACGGATCGTTAGCGAACAACGACACTATGATCCTCTTGCACCCAGTGTAGCTCGCGAAACTAAACTGGCCAAAACAATGGCGTTTATATTTGGTGCGTTGCTAGTTTGTTACACACCGGGAATGATAATTTTACTTATCCGCACAATCAAAGGCGATTCGTCTCAATTGTTGTACAATTACTACCCATGGGCAGAAAACTTGATTTTTTTGAACAGTGCTTTGAACCCAATGATTTACTGCTGGCGTAATCGGGAAATACGCCGAGCAGTTTTCCGAGTTATTAACCCGGTGATAAGTCAGATGTTCAATCGCCATTTCGCCTCCTCGATTAAGGTAGGGTATGTCAAAGAAGCAAGGTCTAGGACTCCGAAAACTGAATACGGTATCTTTGTTTCTGGTAGAAGAGTGCAAACATCTCATGTAACAAGAGACGTCGAGATACAATCAGTTTGCTCGAGGGAGTAACAAGTGGATCATTTCTCGATCGCAGGCGTGTGGCAAAAAATTTTTGTTTTGTTCCTGTTAAGGCAAGATCCTTATCACATCAAGCGCTAATGACTCCAATTCACCGACGTCTCTTCGAAACTTCAACACTCAATGAAGGCGCTTCATCACAAAAGATAACTCATCTTTTAATATTTCTACACTTGTGTAAGTGTTTGATATTTTGACTTTTGCCGCCTTCCCTCTCTTCAGGCGAAAACGCGGCTTTTATCGACACTCCATGTTGTGTGCAAAACAGAATTGTTCTCTTTATCGGGCGAAATGTTCAACGGAGAAAGAATATTCGTAAACGTTTCTTTTTAAGATATTTACCATAGGGCATTATTTCATTTTTGCCTTTAAGTTAAGCCCTCTATATTTTATCGTGTATGAAAGGTAACTGACTCGTGTACATGTTGTTTTAAAATTTTCTATATCTCTACGGGATGCTTTTTGCCAGCAGCCCGGCCCATCTAAGCCAATAACCGTATTCAATATGTATGTTAATGGGGCGATCCAGTGTGTGTGTATGAAGAACGAGGACACCATGTTTACTCAGACTAAGCTGAAAATAATATTAGTTCGTTCGAAACACATAAAAGCTTTGCTTTGTGGTAATTGGCAAATGTTTCGAAAAGGCTCAGCTTGCGAATTGCGTCACGTGCCCATAATCCTTTCTTTTTCTCTGGGGACTTCTCGCTGAGATTTACCTTTTTTTACAGAAAAATTGCCACCCGATCAGCGAGGATCTGTTGATAGTGTTTTTCTGTAACACTCAAAAAGTTGAATCGAATTCGTTAAGACTTACATATTTTCTTTAAATCACAATTTATCTATTCCAATAAGTTTTATGATTAAAAGAATTCAAGTGATCTGTCTTTTCCGTTCAAAGCTGAAAGATTTAATCTTAATGCCCACGCTAGTCAAAGCATTGATAAAAAAAAAACTTCCTTTTTGTCTCGTTTCGGCTTTTTTCTTTTATCGTCATTTATGTATGGCTGTTTATTAAAAAGACGCAATTGCTTGTTATTGAACAAATTTAATCGCACGAGTGTAAAGAAAGAAATGAATTTTTTCAGCTTTTTGACGCTTAGTGTTTGCGTTATTAAGTGCGAAATTTGCATTATCTATCCGAGCAGTCTTGCATAGAATGTGACCGATCCAATTTTGATGCCGCAAGAGAGTGTTTTTATCAGTTCTGGCCTTAAATTTTCTCGCAGTGAAGTTGAATTGAGTATCGACGCAACAATTTCAATTTCTTTCTTGTGAGATTTATCAGAGTTATATAACTCTGGATTTATCATTTACCAAATATAAAATAAAAACCAGTGAAAAATTGTAAGTTTGTCTCGAGCCATGTGTTATCAGCTGAAAGTTAACACAATTATGTGCATATGTTTTTGGACCTTTTTCAATGGCAACGGCGGAGTTAGGTCCTTAAAGCTAAACTATTAGGTGTCAAGGTCGGTAAGCGTATTTCCTTATTGGTCAATAATTTGTTTTACCAGATAAACACCTCGAGATGCAGTATAACTAGAGTCCTAGACCGAAATTTCTCAACTTAAGGTTTAATTTCTGCCATTGTTACAATTTCAAGGTGTGTATTTAGCCTGACCACATAAGGGCCGACCATTTAACTTTTGAGGGGGGGGTGGGGGATTTCTGGTCATCAAGAAATTTTTTTTCTAGCAATCTGCTGTGCAGGATATTTTTTCCGATTTTTTGTTACATTTTTGCTGTTACACTTGGGCAGCATGCAATTTTTTTCTTCCAACAAGCTCTTGCAGGAAATTTTTTTTCAAAATCACCCACCCCCCCTCAAAAGTTAAATGGTCGGCCCCTAACCTTTGTTGTTGAGGATGGAAAAAGCGAAATGGGGAGGAGCATATTTGTTATTTCAGTTATGGTTAAAGCCAGAAAAGAGGGTCTGTGAACAAACGTCAGAGTATCTGTATTCAAAGTTTACGTGGCGTGACTCTGCTTATGACCTCAGGGACTCTGAAAATAAGCTCAATGTTCCATTACCGCGCACTAATTATTACAGAAAAAGCTTTAGTTACAATGGCGCCGCGTTATGGAACAGTCTACCATGCGATGTAAGGAACACAGAATCATTCTAAGCAACATATGGCAATCTGCGGTCTTTCCTTACACTTAGGTAGCACGGAAAGCCGTAAAAATCTTGAACAAAAGCTCATCTTTCAAACCGGCAGTCTAAATCCCACAGAGATCAACGAACACTTTTCATCCCACTAATTTATTCTCGTTTTTCTTGTCGCCATGTTCCCACCAATAACGTAGCTCCATTCTCTGCCTTTAAAAACACACACAACCCACAATTCGTCTATTCGCTCCGACGAAGGGCTAACGCTCGAAACGTCAGCTTTTGGAATCGTTACGGTGGCCAATTTACCACTTCAACTTTGTTGATATATCCAAATTATTTCGTCACTCCCACCGACGCAGCCCCAAACAGTTTCTTTCGAAACTATCAGCCTTTCAGGAACACAGAGTCTCTGGGGGTATTTAAACGTAAGATCAATGACATTCTTTAAGTCTAACGCACGGCATTCACGGAAAACAGCTTTTAGTGTTATAGTATGCAGTTTGAATTTTAAATATCTTAGCGTATGTTATATGTATTTTGAATGAGCTGATGAATTGATCGTGTTTGAATAAAGATTACATTACATTACAACTAAATTCAAGACATTATTGCTACAAATATGCTATCAAGATGAAATAAACAATTTTTAATATAAGAGAAAAATCGAGTTTCCAGATGGGATTTGAACCCAATCTGGAAACTCAATTTTTCTCTTATATCAAAAATTGTTTATTTCATCTTTACATGCTCACTTCGGGGGCTGCTTGGCTGCATGTGATGCTTTAATGTGACAGCGTGATGCTGTTAGTGAGCTTCTATGCGCTAGCTGATATTTGGCTGTGTAGCCGCGTGATGCGGTTCCAGTCAATACCCACTAATTGACTCTTGCTCACCATAGAGTCTCCTGTAGCTCAGTTAGAGCATCCGACTAGATCACGGAGGGTCGTGGGTTCAAATCCCATCTGGAAACTCGATTTTTCTCAAATATGCTATCTGCGCCTTAAATTATGGCGATGGTCGACTTCTAGCATATAGGGTTTTAACGAAAATTACTTCAAAGGTCACTACGACACTACTACACCAGATGTATTTTGTGCCCCATACCGTGGTAGATGTGTTCCCTTCCCCCCACCCCCTTCCATCCCTCTTTCCAACAGATAGGAAGGTTGTGGTGAAGCACAATCGTTGAGACTCCAATCATGCTTTGTAACCTCGTGTTGTCCGAGAGAGTACTAAGTACAGTCAGTTCTCAAAATGGCGGTTGAGGAAAGTGGATATGATAAATAATGGATATAGATGAAAAAAAACCAGCAAATCAAAGCTCTTTTATACTGAGCTCAAAAAGAAAGCGGGATTTGGAGACAAGCGGATCAAAGGTGTCGCGCACCGAAGGTTTTTCTTGGTGGACATCATTAATGTTGGGAGTTGAATCAAAAAGTTGTGCAAACGTTCGTAGTTCGGTTGTGTCGACAAAACGTAAAGCTGACAGTCAACACCATCAGGGAAACGTTCCCACCAAAAATTGAATCTAGACATCTCTCCACGCTTTCCGTTTGTGGAAAAAAGAGTTGACGAAGTTGGAAGGCGACGAGAAATGTTGTGTTCTGTTAAATCCATCGACCATCAGCTGATTCTGGCTTGCACTGAATTATTTTTTACAGCTGAACATCTTTTGACAAAATAACTTGTTGTTTTTTTTTCACGTGTGTAGGTGACCAACGATTGGTATTTGGTTAATCATGTTATGTTAAGTTCCTTGTCTGCTCCCGTTTTTTAACTATAGCCAACTGCTGTGCACTTCTCTCATTTCAAATGACACTCTTTGTATTTTACCTTTCTGGTTGATGAGTTCGCTCTGGATAAGGTAACAAAAACTCTTTGGAAACGTAATCGTCACATTTCGATAGTGATATTGTCTTTGTTGAAAGGATGTTCATGAAAACACTTAGATAGTTCACAGAGAGATAGTTCACACTGAAAGTATAGGATAAGACAATTCCCTGTCTTACACTTGAAAGTTATTGTTGTCAAAGGCATTTGAAATTATCATGTCAGGAACTGGAGAGAATTCAGGCAAGCATCCTGTGGAAAATACCAGTCTTGATTTCCCAGAGCCTCCAGAAAAACCACTTGATAGTGACTGCTGTGGAACAGGTTGTGTACCATGTGTCTTTGATATTTATGACGAAGAAATGGTAAAATGGAGATTAGAATGTGACAGAATAAGAAGTGGAAAAACTATCACAAAGGATTTTCCCGATGGAAGTTTCAATCAAGTACTGTGTACTTCAGAGTTTCGATGTTTTGAACTACAGTCCATCATTAGGGTGACAGATGATTCATGTGTATACAGATTTAAGATCCCAGGAAATAAGAAGCTAGGAATTAAAATAGGACAGCACTTGATAATGAGGTGAGAAGTAAACATGACAGGGACAATTCCATTGCCTTACCTATTAGAGATCTTTTGGCTTGGCATGGGGGATAGTGGGTGGTTACTTATTTCTTGGTGTGAGCCAGTTCATTAACCTTCCTCCCCCAAGATCTCTTGTAATTCTCCCTACTGTCTGCCATACAACCCTTATATGGTAAAAGGCTGATAGTTTCGAAAGAAACTGTTTGGGGCTGCATCAGTGGGAGTAACAAAATAATTTGCATATACCAACAAAGTTGAAATGGTAAATTAGCCACCGTAATGATTACAAAAGCTGACGTTTCGAACGTTAGCCCTTCATCATTCGCTCCGACGAAGGACTAACGCTCAAAACGTCAGCTTTTGTAATCATTACGGTGGCTAATTTACCATTTCAACTTTGTTGATATATCCAAATTATTTCCTTATATGGTAAGTTCTGAGAGTTTGGTATTGGAACAACTAATAAACCCCTAATTGATATTTTTTTGTAATCTCATCACTTTTCTGCTTCAGGGCTCAACACTAACAGTAGCCCACTAGCCACAGACTAGTAGAAATTCAGTTTTGGCTAGTGGTTTTCAATTTCCACTCGCCAGTTTGGCTAGTAAACAGACTGAAATTGTTTGAACATCTAAAAACATCTAAGATGTCACTATAGCCACTTGGCTAGTAAGTTGAAAAATTAGTGTCGAGCCCTGCTACTTGATATTGTATTAATATTGTAAGGAGAAATTCTGTCTTGGCTGCTCATGGCAGTTAAAGGGTTAAATGGGATACTGATTTTTCAACCAATAATTGGTACATATCATTTTGTTTGATTTGACTGATCATACAATCATATTTCAAAAGGCACATGATTTAAATGTTTTAAGTATAACAATTTCCACCTATGGGTGAAAGGGGTAAGGGAAAGCTTTCATACTGTAGCTTGGGAAAGCAAAGACCTTATTGTGACCCTTGTATGCATCGCAGTATAGGAATAAGAGAATCCTCTCTCATAAGAAAGGACCACTGAGACTCTTAAACTTTGTTTTAATCACAGTGGATGCAATTTTTTTAAGAGGCAAATTTGATGGATGCAATTATATTTTTAGAGGCAAATTTGATGGCAGAAGTATCACAAGACAGTACACACCTGTTAGTCTTATAGACTGCCATGGGTTCTTTGATGTTCTCATCAAGGTATTTCACAGAGTATACTGTTTTATTTTCTGACTAATTATACAAAATCATCAGAATAGTTTTATCTGAATGATGAATTTCACATTTATCATATCATATTTTCTATTTTATAAGGAACAGTCATGCTAGGCCATGAGCCAAAGATTTGTTTCTTAATGGAAAATTAAGATCCTAGAAATCTAGATTCAGATGGTAATGACTTGTATTCTTTCAAAAAAATTACCATTCTGTACTTGATCTGTTTCAATTAATTCAATTTGTAAATCATTCACTATTTTTCTTTTTCAGGTTTATTTGAATGGGAAAATGTCTAACCATATAAGAACATGGCAAGTTGGTGACATGGTTGAATGGCGGGGACCCTTTGGAAATTTTTCTTACACACCAAATCAGGTATTCTGAATTATCTCATTCTATAAGGAAAGTACGGAGAAGAATCCTTTAGGGAACCTTGAACATATGTAGATTTAAAATACTCTTACAAAGCATGTCTCCTATTTTACAGTATTGTATATTTTCAGTATCGTCGGGTTGGCATGTTAGCTGCAGGAACAGGGATTGCCCCAATACTGCAAGTCATTCAAGGCATTGTTACAAATGAGGATGATGAAACCTTTATCCAATTGGTTTATACGAGCAGGACATATGATGACATTTTAATGAAAGACACACTGGATGAATTAAAAGCTTATTGGAATTTTTCAGTACACTATGTTCTAAGCCAGGTTAGTTATTACTATTGTAAATTGAAGGCAATTAATACAACATTATTTTTAACCCTTTGCACTCCAACATCATTATAGATATTCTTGGTACTGTTCTCTCTACATTTCCTAAGGTGCTGGCAGGGAGAATTTGTTTAACAATCAAGAGCTACTGTAGTAAGGGATCATTTTCTATATTCTCGTGGTCTTGATTCAGAGATGATATTGTAAGGAGAAATTGGATGCTAGTCACACTTATGCAAAATGTAATGGAAACCTGTGTTAAGGATTTATTTTCCTTTTCTAAAAGAACTTTTGAAAAAGTGAACTGGAAGTTAACTTTGCTGGAAGTTATGTTACTCGCGCGAATTGACTGACACTTCAGAAATAAAAGACCCAGATTTATGGGAGGTGCTTATGCCATAAAAAAATCTGGTGTGGTTGTTTTGTTGTTTTTACGGGACTTTTATTAATGGAAATTTGGACTTTCTTTGGAGTTTGGACTGGGAGAATTTAGAAACCTAAGGAGAAACAACCTGTTGATGGATTATTGACAGGTAACCAGCCATGAACTAACCCTTTCCATCTAGGATGGGTAACAATACCCATACTGTAGTTGTTATTCTTTGCATTCATGTTATTATTTTTACGGGCAAAGGAAGATGAATTGAATGACTGATTGCTCATGAGTTAAAAACCATGAAATGTTGTTGCAGTAATGTGATTTTTTTCCTGTCATTCTAAAGTCCCTGTTGTAAAACAGTTGCCTGATCTTTGCAATCTCCCTCAAGTTTAAGGCCTGGTCGAGGACTTCTTTTACTATGGACGTTGCTTTTGTAGGAAAGTGAAGCTGACCAATCAAAAGTCAAATATGGAGATCACGTGTCACATGGCAGGATCGATCAAGAGCTTGTGTCAAGGGAGATGCCTCAGCCATCACTTGATGTTCACGTGTTAATCTGTGGAACCAAGTCTTTTGATAAGGACATGATAAAATATTTGAAAACTGCCGGTTATACATCAGACATGTATTATAAGTTCTGATTACGAGAAAATTGCTCTTCAAGAAAGATCTTTTGTACACTTCAAAGAAAAAGCATAACTTTTTAGATGCTACTTGGATACCCTTCCCTGATCAAACGCTTTTATTTTATTGCGATTTTTTAACCCTCTGATAATTCAATCCAAGTAGTTTTTTTTCTTAGAGGTTTTAGAAAGCAAAGTTTCACAATAGTTTTTTTCTTGACATATGGATGTATACAGGCACAAAACCTTTGTACATGTACACTACAGTTGCCAATGGTGTTCTTAATAAACTGACTGAGACAATGTGTCTGTTCTTTATTTTCTTATTAAAATGATTATTGATCTTGAAGATATCGCGTTTGTGTTTTTACAAGGTTTGGTATCAACGGGACTGGGATGTGAAAAGGAAGAAAGTGTAAAAGTTAAATCTACATGTTTTGCTTCACTTGATTACCTACATTTACATTTACACTTTTATTCAATTTTCAGGTTATCAATTTTACATTTGCTGACCAGCAAATAGACATAGCTAGTCTACGGTAGGTCAGTAGTTAAGAGTGAGATAACGAACAAAACTATGTAAGCTAACTACCTAAACTAAAGTGAATTTAGTGTTTCTATCAAGAAATAGGTCGTAAAGGGAATAAGTAAAAGCTTGGATATTACGTTATTATTAACATTACTTTTCTATAAATGTTTCAGAATTATCATTCTGTTGTTACGACGGTTTCAGACGGTATGATAATGATTGTCTTTCGTTTGTCAAACGTGTTTAAGGGTAACGTTTTGTAAGGGAGTGGCTGTGGATCTGGCGTAGAACCAAACGAAAAGTTGGTTGCATGCACGTAACGTAGCGTCGGTTTTCTATGTGCACGAAACGCAAATAACCAGTCGGTGTGATAAATTATGACCTCACTGGCCATGAGAAGATTGCTTGAAAGATTTGTCGTAAATTATATAACTGAATCAATAAACAGGTAATTACTGATAACCATATGTTTGACTTGGAAAATTTCTATCTGATACAAGACAACCGGTGTTGGTGAAAAATATCCATTGTTTTAAATTGTTGCACGTACGAAGCAAACCTACTGTACAAGGTACATTGTAAATGGTGGTGACGTAAGGGGGAGAGAGTCACCAGTTTAGAGTGCTTTGGAATACCTGCTTAATCATAAGGGGAGGACCAGATTGTAAGGCTCGTGAGAGGTGGCAAAATATTTGTGTTGCGGACTCCAAATCGATAGCATAGCTAGATTGTAGCTAGCGTGTAAACCTGTTGTCTATTTTCGGGCAAAATCCTTTGTCAGCTCCACTAAGGGCGAATCATGTGTAGGGTGTGGCTTGAGATTTGTCGAATGGGTAAAAAAATTTCTTTCATTTTGTCGTCAAAAAATGACCCACACAAGCTCACTGAAGTTATCAACTACTTGGCCCATGAGAACGTTATTATTTTTAATTGTAAACTTTTTCAGCTGAATTTTTAGTTTCCTTTGAACCAGCTAGACACTCCTGAGTCTTGTAATGTAACTCTTTAAAAGTCCTCGAACAAATCAGTTTTCTCAGATTCTTTTGCTATCCTTGCAGAGTTTTATTTTTAAGGCTCGCTTTGAGGTTAAAAAACCGTAAAAGTAGTCTAGAAATTTCTTCTATACTAAGAGTTTGTTTGTCTTTTTGTCTCTTTGTTTTGATATCATCCTAAAGGTAACTGCATTAACATGAATTCTATGCCTTACGTTACTCTTGTGATCTTGCCAGAGAGTAAAGAAAACATAACTAGTTCAACTAAAGCAGTATTCTGGTATTTGTAAACTCCAGCATATCATACAGTCCTGTGGATCCGTTTCTAACAATTATTTTTTAAGTAGGGATAGTGAAAACCCTGATAACGTTCACATTTTTAACATAATTTTTCTGGGTGACTTGAGCACACGAAATGTCACGCCAGCCACCTACATTTTAAAGTGGCTGTACTGATCAAAAAACTAAAAAAAAAAGACAAATTAAGTGAGACGATCTCCCTTCCGTCAGGGTCTTTTAAAGTATGTTCTTGAAACTCTGGGCAAAAGGAACACAATTTTCAAACGGAAAAGGCTCTTTCGAAAGAAAGGAGAGACTGGAAAAAGAAAAAGTGAAGCACCGCTTTGTAAAAGAGAGTGCTTTACTTGCCAACTTCTGCAACATAAGCGAGATGTTTGTGTGTGTGTTTAATATTTTCCATTCATTAACAATTCCAATTCTACCCTTTCTATAATGAAACTAGTAACGACGGTTCCCTTTTCCGAAAGTTGCCGAGTTTTCCGTTCTTTTCCTACAAACTCTTCATTGTTTATCCTCTTGTCTGGAATAGAGATTTAAACAGATTATGCTCAATGTTTACTTTATTTCATTCCTGTGTATTCAACTCGTTTCCGTTCTTTGAAAAATAACTCCAAGAAAAACAATCAGGCAGAGATAATTATTATTTTAATCAGGGAACGCAGCTGAGAAATGTTGGCATATTTCTGTTTTTGTTTTTGAAGATAAAAAAAAATTTATTTTGACAATAGAAATATTTGGGAGAGACTAGGATATTGTTCGTTTACGCTGTTGGAGCTTAAAAATCCTCAAATTGCAGATTAAGGATTTCTAATGAATCATACCATGACCCTGTCGCGTACTTAGTCAACCGTTTCACTCCTATGATGTCATCGGTAATTCTCCCGACGGTCTGTCATACAGCTGTCATGATGTTGTTTGGAGAATTTGGTTTTGGATCAACCTAAAATCCTCTAATTGATATTTTTCTTAATTCTCATCACTTGTCTGCTATATTGTAAGGAGAAATTCTGTTTTGGTCACTCATGGGAGTTAAACGGTTAAGTATTGAATATGAACCCGTTTGGACAATTTTTTCAGTTTAACGAAAAGTTAGACTCCACAAAATCACTGCTAAAGTTTTTCAGTTTTATTCGCGGACAACAGAACGACTGGGCAACAACTGTTTTCCGTTATATCTGTAGGCAACTAACCCCTAGGGCTCTAGCAGGGGTGATCTACAGACAAATTCGATCTGTAAATGTGAAAGAGAAAAAAGGATATCAACTCTGCGATATGATCTGATACCAAATTCTCATGATCAAACTACAAAAAAAATATGTGGTCATCAGTAGGGAGAATAAGCTTTCATATCTTGAGCGAAACTTGAAGGAGTAATAGGGCCCTGTCGGTCAGGAAGAGGGTTATGATTTCACGATCATCGAGCGCTTAAGAAAAACAAATCATGCAAATATGCGTAGCATGCAGACGTACTCGAAATAGCTGACATATTCGCTCAGTCTAGTTAGCAGATACCATCAGAAGTAATAGTTTTATCATTCAACGACATAACTAGATGTCGTCTCGGTCCCCACAGCACGTGCGCACATAGGCAGTGGCACGTATTTTGCGCATTTCTGAAACGTTTTCAATCTTTTTGGCAAGCGTCCACACTGGTGTCCTAAAATGTTGCGTGTACAGTGTACTTTATGACTATGAAAATCTAACCGATATCGAGGAAGCGGTAACTGCAATAAAAACATTCCATGAGAATGATCAGCGAGCACTGTCGATAAATTGGCTACTTATGTTCTCAATCATTCGAGAGAGGATATCTCAATCTGTGGGTTTTCCCAGTGAAATCGAGAAAGCAGCTGAGAACACGTCATTGTCAGCTGTAAGATGACTTTCTTTTTGTCTTTCTTTGGTGCTGACGTTTTCAGCACATGCAATCTTTGTGGGTTTCATGCAGAGGGGTGTAGCAAAGTCTGGTTGACACTCCAGGCGAAATGAAAATCTCAAGCGAGGGGAATGGACACCTATAAAGGAGGAATTCTATAAATGAGAAGGAAACGCGACATTTAGAGCCTGGGGGCTATCACGAATGAACTTAATTTTGTTGAAGTTAAAGTCATTATCGCTCTTGTTTAATTGTGTTATTGCACAAACACCTGAGTATCTCTGTTTTTCTCTCTCTCTACCCAGAAATCAACTTCTCTCCGTTTAAGGAATAAAACGGTGTTCGCCAACTACAACATAGGCGAAAATCACTGAGACAGACAAACACACAATGAGCGATAAATTCAACCTCAAACTTCCATCATGTGCCAAGTAGTGATGAAATCTCTTGTTTGACCTGATCGTCTTCAGCTCCTATTTAAAAATGAGGTTCGTGGCCGGCCCCATAAATTTTAACTTGCATTGGTACGTGCAACAGGGAACCTTTGAACCCAACCAAGCGCAGTTAGATATAGGAACGCACAGATTACTTTTGACCGAGTGCAAAGTGACGCAGAGTCATGCAACTTCTAAAGGTGAAAATGTGTTAAGTTAGAACAACATTTGCCACCATAAGGACAGAAATTACTACCAAAAGCCTGTCTTGACTACCGCTTTGTTTTTTGCCAGCCTCTTCAGAAGAATCGTTTACGTAAACAGCCCGAAGGAGACACTATTACGTGATGCAATGACAAAATTACCTTTACATGGTGCGTGCAAAATATCATTCCAGATAGAAAGTTTTTCTTTTTTTCTCTTTTTGTAGACTTACGTTTGCAAATTTTATTGGGGGAGAGCTTGACCCAAACTCTAATTTCATTTTAGCAAGGAAATTATCCGCGCAGAAAGCTACGAAATTTCGAGAAATTGCTCAATCAACTGTTATATTTTTCATCGCTAAATTACTCATTAATTCAAATGACATAACCACAGACTTGAACTATGGATTACATTCTTCAGAAATATTTCAACACTGTTCACTTGCCAAAGCCAGATGCGTCGGAAATTACTGGTGAGACGTGACTGCAGTTTTTAAATCTTCTATTTTAACGCTTATCGTGAGCTTTTCCAACCAACTTCGAGAAAACTGTAAGCTGTCTGGGTATTGAAGTTTTCGTGTTTTTTTTTTATCTTTTTTTTTTTTTAATCTTTATCTGCATAGCTACTTAAGTGAAAAGCCGCCTAGTCAAAAACTTTCCCAAAACTTTCCCAAAACCTTGCCGAAATACTCATCAGTCATGGAAGTCTTTTAGAAAAACAGCAGAAAATAATTGAGGGCGATTTCCGACCCGCCTTAACAGAATTCAGGCGAGGTTTGAGTACGTTTCCGATCGGAAGACGATTATTGAATTTACAGGTTTGTTTTACATCCGTCAGCACGAAGTCAACAATCATCTGCAGTACTCCACACATTAGGTGTTCAGTTTCGCACATCATCGAGTTTCGCGCAATCTAAACATCAACCAACTTGACTTCAGAGGTTATCGATAACGGAACTGTTCAAACTCATACAACCGACAGCTTTTTTATCTTTGAATACTTCCTTTTCGTTTCGTTTTTAACCAATGAGGTCTATAAATGGGGCGTCAAAGGGTTGTGTAGTTTATTAGAAGTTACCAGTGACTTGTGGTGTTTTGCGCATCTCGGTATCTTTGTGTCGCAGCCTCGCGACAGATCTGATTATAATCCTTTGAGATTCAAACGATCTAAGAACAAACAGGGTTTGCCTCTCTGTGCTCTTCACCGACGTGGTAAGCCTTCAGTGTCATTTTTGCCGAAGGAACTTTTTCCGGTAGAATAAAACCAGACAACCGGAGCCAAAGTGAGATTACTTGCTTAACTGCACGTCGGAGTCAGTCTTCGGAAGACACTGAGCAATGGAAGCAGACCCAACGGAGGATATTGGTTCAGGTGAAGTGGAAGATGGCTCATCTGTACATCCAGAAAATTCCTTCAACAACACTTTTTTGGCAATCCAGTGCGCATGGTATTCCTTCGTCCTTATTCTTGGCATGACAGGGAATTTGTACGTCATTTTAACAGTTTGGTGTCGTAAGGACATGTGTTCCACAACAAATTTGTTTATTGTGAACTTAGCTTTCAGTGACTTAGGGATTCTGCTGATCTCGCTCCCAGCTGAGTTCATCAAGGACTACGTAGGTTGGCCCTTTGACAAGCTAACCTGCCAGATTGTCGCCCCTTTGAACGAAGTTTTCTTCTGTGTGTCTATATTGACCCTGACTGTTATCACCATTGAGAGGTTTCGGGCGATCTGCAGACCGTTCAAACCGCGTCTGACGGAACGGGAAGCCAAAATTATTATTGTTATTGTATGGATTGTGTCATACCTCAGTGTCGGTTTTCCAATGTCGTTTCTGATGGATGTACAAGTGATTCCTAACTATCCGAACAGGTGCGGACCCGTGTGGTCGGGAGATCTTGAGCGACGAATACACACTTGTTTTATTGCCACTCTTATAATCGTGCCCCTGTTCATAACAGCCGGAGGCTATGCAGCTATCGTGTCTACAATGAGAAGGCAAAGTGCGCGGATCAGAGAGAGAGCGAACTCCTTGAGCAACGCAACCGTTACCTTCCGCCATGACCAATTCCGTTTAGAGAAGAACGCAGAATTAATCAAAATGCTTCTTCTCATTGTGGTTGTCTTTTGGATTTGTATGCTGCCTCTGACTCTACTTGCCCTGGCAATGGATTTTGGAGGCATCGACCCGACAACAAAAACAGTCGAATTATTATACACCCTCGGTATTTCCTTATTTTTCAGTAACAGCGCTTTTAACCCCATTGCTGTGTATATGATGAGCTCAGAGCTAAGGAAAGGGCTCTATACCTTCCTAAATAGAATTTCAAAGTAGTTTGACCATTACTTTTTCAAAGTGTGGAAACAGTAAAAGACTGTCTGGTTAACCTTGCAAGGTTCTCTCGTTTGAAGTGGCTGTAAATAGCGGTCGAATGTTCGATTATTAGTTTCAACTTGTGATGTGTGCAGAGGCTGTTGCTGTTACATGTATAGTTGCACAGACATTTTATCCCTAGCGGCTGTAAATAACGTAAACTTCTTAACCACAAGGATTTGATTGGATTGCGTTTTTCGTTCGTGCTTGATTCATTCAATACCGAAGATAGCTCGACATAATTCACATGAAATAATTGACCCCAAATTAAACTTCTTCCGAGCTCTAAATGAATAAACCGCAAAGAGATAAAAATTACTACGAAAAAAATTCTGTATTCTTAGGGTGATAAAACATTTGGTTTACTTTTACCCTCGATAAATATAATTGCTTCATCCAAACACATTTATGACTTTACCATTAGAGAATTGGACCTGATACATAGTTATTTTAAGCTTGTAATGATCTGATTGACGAGTTTAAGTTTCTTGTTTGTTTGAATCACCCATCAATCAATAGAAAGGGCCAGTGGAGTAATTGAAATAAGTACAATTGAAAAGCAAGGCAAATTTATAGTAAACTTAGGTCTGTTACCGGAATAAGTACATCTACTAAGTATTCTTGATGTCTTTCACTTCATTGAATACATATTCGGTTTTTGCGCTGCAATGATATAAAAATTTAACTTCTCTCGATGCGAGGAGATGAAACTCATAAGCCACATGAATTCTCCTAACTAATTTTCTCGGAATAGTATAGTGGCTAAAGTGAGAATCATGATTTCTAACTATTTCACGAATGAACAACTTTAGGCTGTTTCGACCACTTTTAAATCGACTTGTGTAATCTTGTTGAAGAACGCCAATGTGTTGTAATATATATCGTAAGTCTCAAGCTGTAATACACCGTAAATGCCGTCCGAAATATGGGACGATAAGTAATTTTTCTTATGACAGTAGAAAAGGGACATAACACAGGTAGTAAATATTTTTGCAATGCAAAAAAAGCAGAGCAAAGCAAATGTATATATACAGTTTACAATGTAAAGAAGAAAACGTAAGTAACCGTGTCGGTTCACATAACGTAATGTTTTGGATGGAAATTATGTGTAATACAGAAAATTCTCATGGAAAACCGCCAAACCAGTGTCCTTTGAGGTTTAACCCCTTGACTTGGTCAACAGTATTTGGCTAGAAAAGTACTGACTCATTCAGGAAAAGAGATTAGTTATTTCATCCCTAACCCTAACCCTAGCGAAAATAACAAGGTAATTTGGTAATATCAGCTAAGTTGAAATTGTAAATTGGCCAGCGTTAAGAGTTAGCTCTTCGTTAGCTCTTCGTCAGAGCGAATGGAGTGATTGTGGGTTGTGTGTGGGTTTATATGCAGAAAGTGAAGCTACGCTATTGGTGGGGCCAATTCCCTGGATTGAATCTTGATCCATTTATTAGGAGTTTGCCGGCAAGGGTCGTGGTGCTTTTTTTTTTTTTAGAAATGTCTTAATTGCATTAAACCAAGTATTTCAATTTCCTTCGTCGATGTAGGTAAGATCCGCAGTTGTTCAAAGGTCGAGGATGAATCAGCAAAAGAAAAACACAAGGGTAAAGTTATGATAATGTTCTAGAATTTATCGTTGAGATCTGTTGTCAGCAGTGCTGACAACGCTAAAAACCTCTGAGATCTAGATTAAAATTATCCCCTCTGACTTTTATGCACATCTTTGTAAATAAGTTGACAGAATTCAGTGTTACATCAGCCTGAGCATAATCATAGAAATGTAACAAAACTATCCTGAACAGTTTACATAATGTTAATTGAACTCTTCCCAAAACTTTAAGGCAATTAAAAGAAATATCCTTCAGTCTCGAACAGACAATCAATACAAGCGTCTTCCTTAGACCGTTTATAACCCAGTTGCAGAGTCGCTTCTCAGTTGTACCCTAACCCTCACTTGATCGAGTTACACTGATTTCCGTTAAGTGCAATGTCACACAGCCTGCGTGGGATGTTCTCAGTTTTACAGGGAGGAACTTTAAAAATACCAAAAATGATCCCCGGGGGGAATGGGGGGTGCTTCCACGATCGACGGGAGACGCGTTTGGTTAACCTTTATAATATTCACTATCAGCGTTCCTTCACAAATATTGCAATCTGATTGGCTACACCTCTCACTATCCGCGTCAGATAGTCAGTAAAGTGAGTAGCCTACCATCACGTGGTGGTAAACAAAATGTACTAAAAAAATGAGCCTCTCGTTAAGTTTCGGACTCCTAAATAAACGAGTTTTATAACAACGGTCCGCAATTCCAAAATTCACCTCCTTTAATTATTTCAATCAACTTCCCTGTTATTTCAAGACTTGACAACCCGGTAACACACTATTTCAGGTGGTTTTACAGAGTAATCTCTATTCAAGGTTAAAACAACAGGAAAATAACACAAAATACTGGCCAACGAATCAAGACATCGTACTTTATTAAACATCAGACACCGTAGAACTTTTGACGTAACACTTTCCGGAGATACATGTTCCTAGTTTTCACGCATATTCAGTATTGCTAAAAAGTACCTCAATCGCTATCTTACCAAGATAATTTTGTAGAAAAGGTACCAGATGCAGCTGTCTATTTGTCTATATAGTTTAAATAATTAGACAGTTAAAAGTGGAAACATTGATAACTCCCATCTCGTGATCAATTTTCTTATCCCTCTCAGGAACCCTTCAGAAACGGCGCATCTCGCTTTATGCTCCAAAAGTCTTTAGAGGCGCAATTTAAATACCGCCTGTAAGCGCAAGTCTCATTAATGGAATTTCTTTAATTTCTTAAAACTACTTGAGGAGATTGCGGTTAGAGAGATGGACGAACAGGAATTCCCGAGACTAAAGCTACTCGCTGTCATCAAAAGCTGAGCAGCCTATAAGCGCAAGTTTCATTAATGGAATTTCTTTAATTTCTTAAAACTACTTGAGGAGATTGCGGTTAGAGAGATGGACGAACAGGAATTCCCGAGACTAAAGCTACTCGCTGTCATCAAAAGCTAAGCAGCTTTTGTCTTTGGGAATTATAAATTTGAGGGTCAAATCACGATATCTCTGTTTCTTTATAAACTTCACTGCTGGTTTATATGACCGGTGGCTATTGTCAACTTATGGGCCTTGCGTTATCTTTGCCCGTTTCTCCGTCGTTAATTTCGTCAAATTTACGGAAGCATGGGGAAAAAAATTAGATAGCACAATATTGAAAACACGAACGATCTCGGCACGCATCCAACAGCTGGCAGTGTGAAAATTTACTTTGACCTTTGCACATATGAGCTTAATAAGAAAGAATTTTAAACTTCAGCACTAAAATGAGTTTGGACTTGTTTTCATTTTGCAGAAAATTCCAGTAATTCAAACCTTTGTCAAGAGAAAAGTAGGAGTTCTCCATCGAACTAATTTCAAGCTAGTCTTGAGAACTTGGCAATTAATCACTGTCACCGAAGCCATTGTATTATATATTATCACTCAATGTGAGCACAAAGTCGATGTCACCACAGCCACAATGAAAATTTTCAAAGAAAACTTAAAAAAAATACGTGTTGCACAATAGTAGATGTGACTCCTCAAAAGGGAAAAGGTGAAAGCTTTGTTCATTGTTTTCTGGCCAATGGTGACACGATTTTCGGTCTTTTTTCGATTAACAAATATAAAAGAGCCAATGGGTTTCTACTGAATTGCTTAGGATATGCTTTATTAAATGGAAGTTATTTTCTATTGAGAATTATGGAGCGATAAGCCTGATCGAGTTCGTTACCACAGTTTAAACAGAATTTGCAATTAAAGCAATGTCGATGCAAACAGAATTGGAAAGTTGACCGCTTAAATTTCAAATTTCCAATCTCTTGCTATAACGTTTTTGTTTACACAAAGACTATTTTCTTAATAAGTTTGAAACTTTCTTTAGAGGGAAAATGGTTTTTTAAAGAGCAGTTATGTGTGGGATATGTTTTCAGCGAGCGAAGATGCCTTAACCTTCGAATAAGAATTACAATCGATGATGTTTTCAACTTCTTTCGTGATAATTTCAAGTTCCCATCAATGCATACCTGACGATTTCTATTTCTTCACTCATTGATAATTAATGAAGTAGCCATGAAATTTTAATCAGAGTTTTGACTAAACAAACGCGTTTTTTAAAAGGAAAGGAAAAATATTTAAATGGAAAAATATTTAAATGGAAAAATATTTTTGTTTCCAGTATGGTTAATCCACGGTACCTTCAATGAATAACAGGCTAATTTGTTCCAGAGTTTCTCACAAATGCAGCAAAGAGATTTGAATAACGAAACAATGCAAAATCTCCCCGATTGCTCCGCATTAAAAATTCATGAAATTAAACCAACGAGCTTCGCTTTAGAAAAGGCTGTTTCCTAAAAAGACCGTCAGAATAAGAAATGTGGCTAGAAAGCGTTTGTATCACTTTCCTCTCAGCATTCAAAGAATGACGTCATGTTAAGATTCAGAATTTGGTGTAGCATTTCTCTGGTAAGTGTGAGCATCTCTGCTTAAAAATTGAAGGCCAGTCGCAATGGAATAACGATTTAACCCGAGGAAATACTTGGGACACACTCAGCTAATTTTGTCTGCCGAACCATATAATATATTATTTTTCCTGACACGCAGTTATTGACGCTTCGAATGAATTTTAGGATGCATCAGATATAGCAATACAAGAATCGTGGAATATATAAGCATTAAGAATTGGATTTTTTTCACAGGTCATTGTTGCTGGAAAGATCAGCGAAGGAATTGTACCGAATGTAACGGAGGGAGACTTCATCTATAATTTGTCATGTTTATCACCAGGTATTTGTTCTGAGCTAAAAATCAGTTGCGTCGATAAAGGCGGCTAGCAAATATGATTCGTCTTTTCTTGGATGTAGAATTTGATGTTTTCTATAGCTTAACAGAAAAAAGCGTTTCTTAATGCGTTAAATTTTATTGCTTAATTTCGTTCGATGGTGGTAAATTCGGGGCGTCATTACGGTTCGAAGAGTCTGCCTTGAAATTGTCAACACCTCCTTTTTATAACGTACGTTGATAAGCAACTTTCTTGTGTTTTTCCTTCCTGCTAACAACTTTGTGACTTTTTCAGATAGGTATAGGTAATCGCATGGGGCCGAGTAAAATTAAGGATTCCTATCACGCGTGTTTTCGGAAGTTGCTGAATAACCCGAGTCGCGCAGCGACGAGGGCAATTTCTGCAACTTCCGAAAACACAAGTGATATAAATCCTTAATTTTACGAGGAACCATGTGATTACTTGTACATAATATAAGGGGTAAAATGTTTTCTGACTGACTTCGCGCAAAACGGGACGCCATTGTTACACAACAAACAGAAATTTCTTTACCTTGGCAGCCGTTGCTAAGCGATTTTCAGCCAATCATTTTCAAGTAATTTTGCCCGGGGCAATTACAAAAATTAAGAAAAAATGCTCTTTGTCTTGGCCAATCACAATTCAGTAATTTTGCCCCTTATATGATAATTCATATAATCCTTTTCTTCGTCAAGTATATATCAACTATTTAAAGCCCTGGTCAAACGGTGCATGATAGTCGATGATAGTTGATGATAGTTGTTCGGAAGCGAAACGGGAAATCCAAACAAAAACTTTAATTCCAACCCGGTAAACTGTAGACTGACGGTAAACGACAACGACCATTAAGCAAAACTGCTACTCGATAAACTAAAAACTTTTCAACTCCCCCTAAAAAATCGCACAAGTCAAAATTAAAAGGTCCTCGTGATTTTCTTACGATATTATTAGCCTACGTAGTCCCAAAACACGTGCACGCGAGTCGCACGCATACAAGTTCATTAACGTCTTCTTAACAATAGTATGCCACAGATCTGTGACCGCTATCGGGCCCTAGATTAAACCGGCTCATTTTAAACGAGCCCGCCGATTTTCGGGGAAAACAGCTGACCAAAAACTATCATGAACTATCATACGCGGGGTCAAACGAGAAAAATTATCATCGACTATCATGAGGGATTTGAACAAGCTCAAAATGAATGATAGTTGGTGATAGTCGATGATAGTGCCAGATAGCTGGTGGTCAAACGGAAGCGCGCGCTTCAACTATCATCAACTATCATCCATTATAGTTCACCACTAAATTTTCTCCGGTTCTTATTGG